AAATTTCTCCTTCAAGTTTTTCTAGAGCCATGACAATAGCTATGTCGGGACTAAATTACGAAAGTTGCTTTGTATACTTGGATGACTTAATAGTTTTTGGTAATAATTTGGCAAATCACAATAAAAATTTAATCAAAGTTTTCGAAAGAATGAGATCAGTTAATTTAAAATTAAATCCAAACAAATGCGAATTTTTAAGGAAAGAAATTTTGTATTTAGGACACGTAATTTCAGCTAATGGTGTATCGCCCGACCCAGACAAAATTAAATGTATTCAAAATTTTCCAATACCGCGAAATGCTAACGATGCAAAAAGATTTGTAGCTTTTGCGAACTATTACAGACGATATATTAAAAATTTTGCTGACATAGCAGCACCATTGAATAAATTGAGCAAGAAAATTGTACAATTTGATTGGAATGAGGAATGTCAAATCTCTTTCGAAACATTGAAAAACTCTCTAACAAAACCACCAATTTTGCAATATCCAAATTTTTCCGAAACAAACACTTTTATTTTAAAAACGGATGCTTCTTCCATTGCATTAGGAGCCGTACTTTGTAACGGAGATGATAAACCAGTTGCTTTTGCTAGTAGAACACTCAATGCAGCCGAATCAAAATACTGTACGATAGAAAAAGAATTATTAGGAATCGTATTTGCAGTAAAACATTTTCGTCCATATTTATTTGGAAGAAAGTTTATTATCCACACTGATCACAGACCGTTAGTGTACTTATTCGGAATGTCAGATCCATCTAGTCGTTTAACAAGATTTAGATTAACTCTTCAAGAATATGATTTCACAATCAAGTATATAAAAGGAAAAGACAATGTAGTAGCAGATACTTTATCGCGCATAGAGATAACATCAGACGAATTAAAACAAATGGGAAACGGTGTATCCGAAACCATTTCTGCAATAACTCGAGCGCAAAGCAAAAATAGAAAACCTGAAAATCAAAACGTTGAATCGGTTTCATATGACAGACTTGATCACCCTGGAATAGTGGAGCTGATAAAACGTCCATCACAATCATTTGAGTTAAGATTAATAGACAAAAAAGAATTTAAAACAGCTGTTAACAATGAAACTTACGATTATAAAGTAGGCAATTTAATATGTAACGCTGATGAGCAAGTAATTTATGTGAAAGAAGATACTCGATCGGCGTGTGCCTTAGAAGCAACGTTGAGAGATCTTCATACAATTGTTACGAAATATAATATTCCGGAAATAGTTATAATCAAGAGAAAAATGTGTGCACACAACATTTTAAATGAATTAATAAAACATCCAAATGAAGTAAGGAAATTACATTTAAAACTCAGCATAATAAATGATGTTCAAATTGTCGAAAATCCAGAAATGCGACAAATAATTTTAAATGACTTTCACATGCTTCCGACAGGAGGGCATGCAGGCATAAATCGAATGTATAATAATGTCAAGAAATATTTTTATTGGTCAGGATTAAGAAAAGCTGTAGAAAAATTTGTACAAAAGTGTGACGATTGTCAACGGTTCAAATATTCAAAACCAAATATTCAGCCAATGTCAATCACAACAACAGCTAAGTCTGCTTTTCAAAAAATCTTTCTAGACATAGTCGGACCACTCGAACAAGATTCTGAAAATAACCGATATATTTTAACTATACAATGCGAGCTAAGCAAATTGGTCGAAGCATATGCTATCCCAAACAAGGAAGCTGTAACAGTTGCCAAGGCATTTGTAGACAATTTCATATTAAGATTTGGAATACCTAATGAAATTGTCACCGATCAAGGATGTGAATTTCTTTGTAGTACTTTATCTGAAGTTTGCAAAATCCTTAATATCAAAAAACTAAATTCAACGGCATATCACCACGAGACTCTTGGAGCACTTGAAAATACACATAAAAACTTAGGTGCATATCTTAGGATACAGTGCGCGAAATATTCGAACAGCTGGAGTGCGTGGGTGTCGTTTTTAACAATACAGTGCATACGGAAACGCGTTATACGCCATTCGAACTAGTTTTTGGGAAAACCTGTGTTTTACCGACAAATGTGTCAACGAACATTAATCCGTTGTATAATTTTGACAATTATCCGTTAGAATTAAGATATAGATTACAGATTGCATGTGCCGATGCAAGAAAAAATCTATTAGAGTCTAAGTGTAAAAGGAAAATCATGTATGACAAGAAAACTAAGCTTGTAGATTATAGCATAGGATCTTTAGTCATGTTAGAAAATAATGCGGGAAATAAAAATGTAGACATTTTTAAAGGACCGTACAAGGTAATAGAGAACAATTCTCCTAACATAGTAATAAGAATAGATAACAAAGATGTCACGGTTCATAAAAATAGAGTTAAGCCTTATCATTTTTGAAAAATTTTATTTTCGCTCCACGAAAATAAAACTTTTTTTTCAGCCGAGGGAGGTGTACAGTAAGCATTCATTTAGTTATTGTAGAGTAAGCGTTAAATTACGAAATACTAATATAGCATAAGTCAGCAACTAACATAGGATAGGAAGTGATAATTTATAAGCAGTCACGATTGTACATCGAGAGTGAATAAATGGGTATAAAAGGTTAAGGGTGTCTTCTTCGAAATGGTCCCATCCTAAGAAATCAACATTTATTACAGTTGTACAAAATGTTATAGTTCAGTTTATTAATAATAGGAATAAAACTATGGAAGATCTTTATGAACAATTTAATTTTGAAACATTTTTTGTAATCCAGGTTCAGGTGGAATCGGTATTTTGGGTTGCCTATTTTAAAAACATAAATGGGTCATCTTAGGAGAATAACTCTGTATACATATTTGTAGTTTATATCCAACAGTACAATGTTATGATGATTATCCAGTTGGACATCCTACTAAAATACTCAAACCTCCTACGTATAATTCAAATTGGTATGGTTTAATAAAATGTCTAATTTTACCACCAAGAGGTTTTTATCACCCCGTTTTACCTGTTAAGAATAAATCCAAATCTGGCGTTGAAAAACTAACATTTCCGTTATGTCAATTGTGTGCAAAATTAAATAATCAAAAAGATAAACGTACTCATACAGAATCTCAAAGGATTATCAGAGGAACCTGGTGTACAAACGAGGTAGAAAAAGCAATTGAAAAAGATTACAAAATAATAACTATTAATGAAGTTTGGCATTTTGCAAAAAAATCGAGTTATTTGTTTAAAGGATATGTAAAAGCATTTATGAAAATAAAGTTAGAGACACGTGAATGGAGAAATGATTTTGAATCAGAAGAAGAACATAGAAAAGCTGTAAAAGAAAATCTAGGCATTGAATTGAGTAAAATAGAAAATAATCATTATTATTATTATATATGTAAGTCAACGGGTGCAAGACCCAATTACAGACTTACAAAAGAAATGGTAGTAAATGTGTAACAGGTAATCAGTAGCTAAAATTACTACTTTATCCCATAGGGAACGTTAACAAAAATATTAAAATCATTCTGACTCAAATTAAAATTATTGGTCGTTTGACAAACAGGCGAGTACTTTTCGACATCTATACGCGGTGTAGGCAGATAGAAACAACGGTGGTCACGAGAAGAAAGTCTTGGACAATAGATATAGAGCTTGCTGAGAAGATTGGAACAGTCAACTTGTGAGCACATTAGATTTCTAAGAAAGTTCAATGAATAAGAAGTGCGTCTAGTGTTTAAATCCGTAAGTTGAAATCTTATTGGATATGTAGCATCTACTCTATATGCTAAATATTTAAGAAAGCGGCGCTGACCAAACTATACTTGCATATTCCAACCTAAAGCGCACATAAGAAAAGTATAAGATTCGCAAACATTCCAAGTCATTGAAATTGCTGCCACAACGCAGAATGAATCCAAGGAATTCCAGAGCATTTGCACAGATGCTGTTAATATGTGCTCGAAATGTAAGTTTGGGATTGAAAGTCACGCCCAGGTCAGAAAAGTAGTCTACTCTGGATAACACAGCTTCATTTAGAGTATAATCATATGAGATTTGTGGATTCTTATTAGTATAAGACATTATGTGACATTTATCAAAATTTATTGGAAGCATATTCAACTTACCCCACTGCAGGAAATAAAGTAAATCCGTTTGCAGTAATAGACAGTACTCATATTTAGCTATATCTCTGTATATTTTTACGTCGTCTGCATACAAAAGAATATTAGAGTGAATAGCTCGGACTAAGTCATTAATATATATCGCGAAGAAAAGAGGACCTAAAACTGAGCCTTGTGGTACGCCACTAGAAAGAACAGACGTCTTGGACACATGCTCTAAATATTTTACAATCTGAAGCCTGTTAGCTAGATAAGACTTGATTAGTTCCAGGAGAGCGACAGAGAATCCAATACTGTTCAACTTAACTAATAGAATTTTATGATTTAACTTATCGAAAGCTTTTGAGAAGTTCATGTATGCAACGTCTACTTGCAGTCTCTTATCAAGAGAGTCAGACACAAACTGAGTAAAAGTACAAGTTGGAAGTAGTAGAACGGCCATACACGAAACCATGCTGAGATTCGGAGATCTTATTATGAATATTGAAAAGAAGAAATCTATGCAAAACAAGTTCAAAAACCTTAGCAAAGGTACAGATCAGCGAGATAGGACGGTAGTTCTCTATCACACTTCTTTTACCTTTTTTAAAAATAGGAGTTATGATGGATAATTTCCAAATTTCAGGAAATATACAGGTTTTCAGGATTAGATTGAATAATAACATTAATGGGTAAGCTAAAGCTGACCAACAATCAGAAACCAAAAATGCAGGTATATTATCATGACCAGAAACCCAATTCGTCTTTATTTTGTTTTGCAGCGTTTAAAACCTCAACTTCAAATAAGTGTAAGTGTAATAATTTTAAATGGTAAAGTGCTAATTATCGGTATTGGTGATATAGATCTGAGGACCTGGAGACTCTAAGAAACAGCAGAAGAAGAAGAATGTTAAGTGTTGTGTGGTGTAAATTTAATCCATAGAACACCGATCAGTCGTCGTCGTCCGAAATGGCAAGAGGTATCCATTCTTGAATTGTAAAAAAGTGAAAAAAAAACTTTTTTGAATTTTCAGATAAGATAGAAGTACTTTTAAGCAGTTGGATTGAAACACAGCAGTGTCGACTGGAAAAAATGGTAAAATATAATGGGAGAGTTAAATTGGAGGTAATTTAATATTATTATATACCTATACATTTGATATATGTAATGAATTTTAATTTAAGGGTTCTACATTCTATGCCTGTTTGACAGTTAATAAAACGCACCTTATAATTGACCCGTACGATAAGACAAAACACGTACGTGCTTTCAATGAATCTCGTCTTAGAGGTGCCAAGGAAATTAGGACAACAGGCGGCAGTTACTCGAAGATTTGGAAAATCAAGTTTTTACATTTCTTTGCAATCAACCAAAGTTCGGGACATTCTTAGCACCAAAAAATGTCTCCAAGTTGGCGCTGAACAAGCAGGCCGTTTTTCTCAACGCCTACTACTCACACTGGCTAATGAAGATGACAGATAAAAGTCCAGGAAATTTCTTTTGATCGCACATTATTAAAACTACACTAAGCCGTAGACAAAACTTTCTATACGTCCAAATTTCTCGGTGAATTTTATACCATATGATAGAAATAAAGTCGTCTAGTAAGCCATGAAATTTATTTTGAAAATGACGACAGGTACTAGCCCCACCCACCCACCCTCTCTTAGAGGATATTTCATTTGCCAAAATCAGTTTTACCTTTGCAAGTACCAGCCCCACCCACCCACCCACCCTCTCTTTTCTTAGAGGGTATCTCATTTGCCAAAATAACTTTTTTCTTAGCAAGTACTGATCACTAACTTTTACAAAAAATGATCAAAATATCTGGAAACATTGCGAGCTTACTTATTTGCACAAGGAAGGAATTTTGAACATCTTCTCTGTGTTTCTTCAATTTTTATTTTTTTTTTATTAGTATTTGTTACGATAAAACTGATTTTGGTAAATGGCATTTTCTCTAGGAACACAGAGGGCGGGTGGGCGGGCCTAGTACAGTTTCGGCCAGAAAATCTTGGGCAGTATTTTTCTATCATTTAAAAAGCACGATATAGTCCATGCTTTGCCATAATAATTGACAGTTTTAAAAAATAAATTTTGACATACGTCATCATCCACATTCCAGTCTACGTCAAAACGACAAACATGGAAAATTTGAAGTTATAAGTACGTAAAACCTGTTTTAGAGCTTATGTCACTCGAATGACAGAACTGCCCAAGATTTTGTGGCCGAAACTGTACATGCTAAGATAAGACTAATTTTGGCAAATGACATACACTCTAAGAAAATAGTGGGTGGGGCTAGTATTTACTAAGGTAAGACTGCACAATAAGAAGAATAGTCACTGGAATCAAGAGGTAGTCAGTGGGCGGGGCTACTGCTTGCTTACAAGACTCTTAAGAAAAAAGCTAAACTCAGCTCCGCCCACCTTTTTCGCTAGTTCACTGACTTATTTTATTTACTGTACAGTGGGAATTGAATTCTATTTTGACAAGCGGAGAATTTAAGATTTAAAACAAAGTCAAAAGTGCCCATCATATTTTTTGCCAAAATCACTCTTTATCTTTACAAATATTAGCCCCTCCCACCCGCCCTCTACTTTCTTAGAAGGTATGTTATTTGCCAAAATTAGTATTATCTTTATAAATATGTATTAGCTTTGTGACAGCGGAATGACATTGATGTCTAAGATTTTCTGGCTACGACTGTATAAACGTCTTTCCCATCGCCTACTACTCACACTGAAAATGATAGCTAAAAATCCAACTAGAAGGAAATTTCTTTTGATCGTAGATTATTAAAACTGTACTAAACAAAACAACAACAAAAAAACGTTATTTACGTCAAAATTTCCTCATGTCGTTTTCAAAAAAAAAAAAAGCCAAAGCAATGGGAATATGACTTTCATGTCAATGTCATTTGTCCGAAATTTTTTAGAAACGACGCGACGGTACCATATGATCAAAATAAAGTCGTTTAGTAGGTCATGAAATTTATTTTGAAAATAATAATGTTGGCATTGCAGCTATCTGACATTTTATTTGACAATTATGCGACCGTAACTGTCGAGTTAAACAATGAACGACTTGGTGTTGCCAACATGATTTTTTTAAAATTAAATTTCACTCGTCATCAAGATTCTTCGCCAACTAAGCAATTTGTTAGTAACTAGGTCATTAAACGCAACCAAAGGTAGAATCTGGTAATATTCCTGCCGCCATTTATTTTATGTTAATAAAAAATGAATTGTATCATTCACTAGTTTAGGGTGTCCCAACTAGTGTTAAATTCCATAAGAACAATCACCTGCCAAACTGGGGAAAAATCAACCATCCACGCAAAAAAGTTGTGGTGATGTCATTGTTACATATAGTGACGGACAAATCATTTCGGACATAATTTTTCTGCCATTTCAAAAATTTCAATGTGTATGATACGATCACTAAGGCTCAAATAATATGCAAAATGCATATTTTTGCATATTCTGCATATTTAACTATTTTTGCTGCATCTTTCGTGGTAATTGGTGAAAATCTTAATTTTAATACAGTTAGTTATTGGCAGTATACAGGTATATAAAATATTAATGTGTAAGAGAAGTCTTTTTTCTTGCATATTTTAGCACTTTTTGCATATAATGCCAAATTTCTCTGCATATATATGCGCATATTTACAAATTTTTTTCTGCATTTAATTCCGAACTTTAATGATCACCAAAAAACATCTCCAAGTTGGCGCTGGACAAGCAATCTGTCTTTCTCATCGCCTACTACTCACACTGGAGAAGCTGGAGAATGAATTATCCTTTGACTGTCTTTTCGTAATATTATACATTATTGTGTCTTTTTTTCAAAAATAAAATACTTCAAATATTTATATATTAATACTGCAAAATTACAGAAAAATCAGGTTGTGAATACTAACATTTTTATTTTTATATAGTTTTTTTCTTCTTCTTTCGATTTCCTTTTGCTTTGAGAGAATAAGAATATTAATTAATTCCCTTTGCAATTAAGCTCCACCCCCGATCTCATAACGAATAAAATATTCATCATAATTAACATCGGGGCGGGTGGGTGGGGCTTAATTTTTGCCTTTTCTTCTTAATACGTGTAGTTTTCTTTCAATAACACGATACTTAACACATGTTTCACATGGTAATTTCTTGTACGTCCTTTGCCGTTTCTATTGAAACACTTGTTGGTCGTAAATTTGGCAACGTTCGGGTTCAGACAATTTTCTAAAAGCCGTTCTCAATCAATCGAGACAATTGCTAAATTTTAAGAAAAATCAACAGGTGCAATTAAGCTCCGCCCCCCGTCCCACGACGAATAAAAAAATTAATCACAATTGAAGTGGGGCGGGTGGGTGGGGCATATCCATTTACTTTCTTGTCGTAATATATATAGAGGTTAGAATACTGTCCAGCTGTGTTACCAGTGTTGCCAGATTTGATTTACGCTACAAAATTACAGAAACGTCAGGATTTAAATACTAAAATTTCTATTTTTATATATTTTTTCTTCTTCTTTCGATCTTCTTTTGCTTTGAGAGAATAAGAATATCCATTACTTATTTTTTCTCAAAATGGTCTATTTTCTACAATACAATCATCCTTCAAACATATGGACTTTGCAATTAAGCTCCGCCCTCCGATCTAAAACATTCATCTCAACTGAGATTGGGACGGGTACACGGTACATATTTACAACATAGAATAAAAAATTAATAACAACTGAGATGGGGCGGTGGGTGGGGCTTATCCTTTGACTGTCTTTTCGTAATATACGCTGTCTTTTTTTCAACAATAAAATACTTAAAATATTAATATTACAAAATTACAGAAAAGTCAGGTTGTGAATACTAAAATTTTTATACTTATATAGTTTTTTTCTTCTTTCGATCTCATTTTGTTTAGAGAGAATAAGAATATTAATTCCCTATTTTTTCACAAAATGATTTATTTTATACAATACGATCATGCCTCAAACATACGGACTTTGCAATTAAGCTCCGCCCCCCGATTTCACAACGTATAAAAAATTCATCACAATTGAGGTCGGGGCAGGTGGGCAGGGTTAATTTTTGACTTTTTTCTTATGTGTCGATTTCTTTCAATAACACGATACTTAAAACGTGTTTCACATGGCAATTTCTTGTGGAGAAATATGAACTTTGCATTGAAGTTCCGCCCCCCGTCTCACGACGAATAAAAAAAATAATCACAGTTGAGATTGGGGCGGGTGGGTGGGGCTTAATTTTTGACTTTTTTTCTAATATGTGTAATTTTCTTTCCACAGCCCGGTTTAAAACATGATTCACATGGTAATTTCTTGTAGAGAAAAATGAAGTTTGCATTGAAGTTCCGCCCCCTGTCTCAGGACGAATAAAAAAATTAAAAACAATTGAGATGGGGCGGTGGGTGGGGCTTATCCTTTGACTTTCTTTTCGTAATATACGTTGTCTTTTTTTTCAACAATAAAATACTTAAAATATTAATATTACAAAATTACAGAAAAGTCAGATTATGAATACTACAAATTTTATTTTTTTATTATATCATTTTTTTTCTTCTTTCGATCTCCTTTTGCTTACAGAAAATAGGAAGATTAATTCCTCATTTTTTAACAAAATGGTCTATTTTATACATCACAATTGAGTTGGGGCGGGTGTCTCTTTGACTCTCTTTTCGTTACACATAGGTCTTCTTTCAACAAGAAAATACTTAAAATATCAATTGGTGAATTTGAGGTTAAAATTATGTTTTAAGTATCGTGTTCTTGAAAGAAAAGTATGTGCATTAAGAATAAGAAGCCAATAATTATGAAACCCCACCCACCCGCCCTATCTCAATTGTGATGAATTTTTCATTTTTGTCAGCTCGAGGGGAAGAGCTTAATTGCGAGATCTATATTTGTCAAAAAAAAAATTTGAACATTAGTTTTTTGGCGAAAAGAAGGGTACGTATATTAAGAAAAAAAAAAGCAAGACATAATCCCCGCCCACCCGCCCCCATCTCAATTGGGATGAATTTTTTATTCGTCGTGAGTCGGGAGCGGAGCTTATTGCAAAGTGCTTACTTTTCTACAAGAAATTACCACAAGAAACATGTTTTAAGTGTCGTGTTAATGAAAGAAAACTATATATATTAAAAAAAAAAAGGAATGATTAAGCCCCACCCACCCGATATCGATTGTGATGAATTTTTCACTACAAAAATTTACTATTTTAAACATGTTTGAGTACTTTATTGTTAAAAAAAAGACTACGTATACTAAAACAAAAAAAAAAGGCTAAATATAAGCTCCGCTCACCCGCCCCCATCTCAATAGTAATAAATTTTTCATTTATTGTCAGATCGAGGGGACGAAATGGAGGGGAAAGTTCAATGCCAACTACAACGAAATTTCTTTTGATCGCACATTATTAAAACGGTACTAAAGTCGTAGACAAAACTTTCTAACACGTCATTTACGTCAAACTTTCTAACTTTTATACCACATGGTCAAAATAAAGTAGGCCGTTAAACTTATTTTGAAAATAATGATGCTATTTGACACTTTATTTGACAGTTAATTTAGGGGACTTTTTCGATTATGTGGTAACAATTTGTTAATGTAGTGTCACTTGTCATTTTATTTTGACACTTGTAAATCTACTTTGTCGCTAAGTTTTATCTAAATTTTTTAATTAACGGAAGTCCAATATTGCACTTGAATGTTTGTATAATAATAAACGATAAATATATTTTTATTCTGGCTTACAATATCAAAAATATAACTTACCCTGTCACAGTTGACCCACAGCGTCGACAACGGCGACTTAATATTCGACATCTCAATAGTAGCCACAATGTACCCATACTCCACATTCCACAAAGTTACTTTATTCTCTCCACAACCCATCACCAGACTATCACAATCTGAAAAATCAACCATCAAAACCACATTTCCAAACCCAACTCCCATACCTTCAATATTATGCAGCGACGAAACATAATGTTCAACCGGCTGTATCTCGCTGATATTCGCCACCGTCTGAAAATCCGCGGCAAGATGATACGAGTGAATCTTCGTCTTCTTCTCGTTTCCCTGCACTGAGTGCCAACTCACAATTATCTTCGAATACCATTTTAACACACAATACTGAACATCATCTGCAAATCTTCAACAAAACATCATTCTGAATTCGCGCACCTCAACCGTTTTACCCTTGGATGTTCTCCAATTGGAGAGCTTTCTTCTCGAGGCCGGTTTGCCGCAGACGCCAGAAATACACCGTCGCAAAGACGTCGGCAAGAGGAACTTGTCGGACGTCGGATTTGTGCTCTTTGGTCCACAGCTCCACGAACGCCACACTCGTTTCCGTCGTAATAACCATCTCTGCTGCATTTTTCTGAGTGTACGTGCTATTCAGAGTGATACGTTGGATCTCTCCTTTCGGGATCCACATATTCTGAGCTCCTAACACGTTACCTAAGGCACTCTGTGTCCAAAATGAAATTAAATTCTGTTGTACTATTATGAGATTGTAGTCTTGGTAGAACGCTCGAAGAACGGAGCCGTTTTTCTTTGATATAGTGATTGCGTGGTTTAATTTTCTGCTACAGTTTGAGTTCCAATTGTGCAGGCCGTAGTTTGTGTGGAATTTACGGCGGTTGGTGATTGTTAGGCTACGATGTAACGACTTCGTTTCGACTTCTTTACTGACTGGAAGAACTTCGAGATCTGGGATGGGAACTGGACTTAAATTTCTGACTGATTGGTCGTTACTGTCGTCCAGACAGTCCGAATTTTCGTCTTCCGCTGGTCTAAACGTGGTGTAATCATGCTCAGAAATAATTAAATCCATGACTAGATTATCAGAATTTTTTTCATTCTGATTTAAACTTTTTGTGTTATTGTTTTCAGTCTGATTTATATTCACGTCCACGCACTCCTGCAATGGCTGAGTATTGTTTTCTTTTTCCTCTGAAAGCTTCCTCTCATTCGACAAGTCAGAGAAAATTTTATACGCTCTTTGTACGTCAGCTTCATGCGTCATCCTTTTGTTGATTAAATTCGTGATTGAGCTCGACGCTAGTATTCGACTCTCGATTACGCTTTTTCTGTGTTCTTCGCTCATTTTATCCAGCTCTAGCATATCGTCGACGAAATTCTTCAAATCGACGTTTTCGTCATCCGAGTTGGTGTGGACTGATATTATTTCGCAACCGGCAGTTTCCGCTTTTTCCAACGACGCTTTTTCCAGCGACTTTTTTTCTTTCATTTCTTTTAATATTTTTTTCCGAGCCTTTTTCCGTAATTGGCTTTTTCTCAAGATAAGACTGTCTAGAGAAACGTGCGTAAGACGTACCTTGCTCCTCAAATTAAAGGGTTTATTGTTGAAGAAACCCTTCCTAAAGCTTGGACGCAACTTTGGGGGAAATTTAAACTTGCGACGTTTTTTCACCTTTCGTACGTATCCATTGATCGGTTTCTTCCCCAATTCTTCCTCCACGACGCTTCTGTTCTTTAACTCTTCTTCCACAATGTCCTTAATACAGTCTTCAAAGTCAACCACATCGGCGTAGATTTTTTTCGGCGGCAACGGTAACAAGTTTACTTTCTCCTGAAAGTTGAGCTTTCTTTTTAAAATGTTCTTCATTTTCATGATTCTACTAATTCTTAGTTCTTGTTCACTGGAAATCGTCGGCCTGTCAACGTCAATTTCTTCAACACTAGTTTCTTGTTTATCTTTTCTTTTCGCCATCTTAGACTCGTTCTGTTGCACTCTAACCCTACCAGACCGTCGATACTCGATAAAAAAAGTACTCTGCTGATCATCAGGTTTCATTAATTGTAAATAATTGCAAAGTTCTTTCTTTTGGCTTTCCGGACTTAAAGGCGTATTTTCGCTATTTCGTCTCACCCTGCTCCCGTTCGCCCTGTGCGTGTCCCCATTGTTCAAACTCACACTCTTTTTCGCTTCTTCCATGTAAGAAAACAGCGGCGTGGCTCTCGTGAAGCACGACTTCGGCAGCGCAGTAACTGTTGGCTTCTTGTCAAAATCATACCGAATGCACGTACTCTTGTTGTTTTCATTATCAATCTCCGGGGAATCACATTTGTGATCGTCATAATTACACGATTGCATCCAGTTGGTGACCTTCTCAGCCTGGGTGAGTGTGCCCCCGATGTCCAAAACTTTCTTCTGAGGTGCCACTTTACCACTTCCCCAACTCACAGGAACTCGCTGGACTTCCGAACTTACTGTTAAGACGCTTGCCAATTCGGCGCTGCTTGTGTGGCCGGAGCCCTTGGAAGAAGTACTGGATAGAGAAATCACACTTCCACTGTCCATCGCAAAAACGATTTTTTAAATTACGTTAGGAAAATCGCATCTCACGATTTCGTCGAGTTTTGGCTTAATTTAGGAACACTGTTAGATAACTGACATGACTGTTTTGGGGGGACGCCAAAAACAGCCCCCCAAACGGGTCAAAAATAGTAAATATTAATTGAAAGGGGCTTGTTGACGCTTTGCTAGTTTCTCCCTAAATAAGAGAGAGAGGTAGAGGCAGCGCTGCCAACCGCACGGCCAAAATACACTATTCGTCGTATTAAATAAAAACGCGTTAAATATTATTATTTAACGCGTTATTAATTATTATTTAATAAATAAAGTAAATGCAATAACGTGTCAAGTTTTTTGTGAAATATTACAACCAGTAAAGTAGTCGCATTCCAGTTATTGTAACTGATGTAGAAGTCATTCTTGTCATATTCACATGCCACACAGAAACGCAGTGGCGTAGCTATACGAAGTGCAAAAGGGGGCCTTCTTCGTTTTTATTTTATGTTTACATTAAATTAGACATTCGTGGTATGGACAGTATTACAATACTTCTTTTGCTTACGGTCGGAAGGTAAAAATATTAAAAGCTATTTTATAAGTCCATACAGTTTCACAATTTATTGTTGTCATTTTTAAAAATAAGTTTGTAATTAATTAAAGCTAATGTCTGGTTTTATAATTTTATTTGTTGCGAGTTACATTATTAACAAAAAAAAATGGAAGACAATCTTTAAAATTAGCCAATTAAATTAGTTATCCCCAAGATCCCCTGCATTCAGAGAGACCGTACTTCACTATTAGATCCTTGAAAAAAAAAACGTTATTACAACAATTCTAACATAAATTAAATCAAACCCACCGCGTCTAAATTGCCCTTAAGCACCCGGCAAATGCAGCTCGTCCCGAAATTCGTATCCTCAGTACACCTCACACAGCATAAGTTTTTATAGTCTGGATTCCTCCATTTCTCTGTTAAATTTTTATCAGCAGTATTTTCAGGGAGGCAGCAACCATGCAGTTCTCGAATGGTCGCTTTTCGTCGGCAAAATAGGTCATAAGCGAACTTTGATCTCTGGTGGGCAATTGTAAAAATTGGCCACAGCGATTCACTTCTTCGTTTGTCTTCATGCGACTCAATTTCAACTAAAATCGTTATAGTTAGTACTGACGCATCTTTGAGGGCTCATTTGGAGACTTACCTTCCCCCATTTTTTGTGCCAGCTCATCTAGTGTTGGGTCGTTGAGTTCCCTTCCCTCTTTAGGCGTTTTTTTGCTTCGGCGTACTTTTGGCATGTTCGATTTTTCTGAAATTGAGACAAAATTGTGAATGTTGCATGTTGCTTTTGCTGAAGGAAAAAGCGTCAAGTTGACGTTAGAAACTTGTAGAAATAGTGTTGCGCAGTAAAAGGCAACTCAGGGTTAAATGGTTTTTTGTTCCCTCAGGGACTTAAAGCTCTTGGCAAGCCGCGGGCTTTGAACATTCCTTCAGAAATAAAGAACTTTTTTAATCGCTTGTTATTTAATATACTATTGGTGTGTAGTAACTTACCAGATTAGCAAAACTTTCGGTGCTAAATTTGAACACTACAAAAAAGCAACACAAACGAAAATAACGTGAAGTGAAACGTGAAGAGATCACTGAGAAAGTCTGTGACTGAGAATAACTTTTAACTTCAGCTCCTACCGTATTTATAGGGGTTGTAGAAGAAGAGTGGGGGTGTTAACGGATGCTCAGATACAGTTTGTCGCAGTCAGGATTAACGTTAAAATTGTTTGGCAACGTACTTTATCTAAAATGTAGTGAATAGTTTGAGAATGATGAGGATTAGTTTTAAAAATGTGTAAATAACTGAGTACTAATGACTATTGTAGAAAATTATGGTATTTAAAATATGAGGATTCCAGTGAACGAAACGAAATAAAAGATGACGATTCCATTAATATATAATATAACATATATATAAATTTTCCAAATTTATTAATGAATTAATTAATGGTTTAGTATTAGTCGATGTCTTATCTCTATCCTTGTCCATCTAATCATTACCAAGTCGAAGTTAAGTTGTTTCAATAGAAAAGGTTTTAGGGTCGTAAATAATGTGTCCACTGCAGCTCGGCCGGTTGTTGAGGTTTCGTTCAGGGACGACTTTCACTAAATATGTAAATCCACCACTCCATTATTTCTTTACTACCTGCAGCCGCTAAAGGTTCCGAAATAACCACTCGCTTTGAAACCATCATAAAAGTAGTTGACCGCAAATAAATACCCTCTTTGTATGGTTCGCAGTAAGCTTACCGGTTGGCAATAAATCGTCTTCTAAACATTTCTTGCTTATATTTAGATATTTAGTGAAAGTCGCCCCTAAACGAGACGACAACAGTCGGTCGAACTGCAGTGGACACGTTATTTACGACCCTAAAACCTTTTCTTTGTAAACAACTTAACTTCGACACAATGGGATAATTTTAAGATGGCCATATAACCTTATAGCGTTTGGTTTACTATACTTAGATTTAGATATTTAGTGAAAGTTACCCGTGAATGAAACGACAACAGCCGGTCGAGCTGCAGTGGAATAGTTATTTACATTATGAGTGCGGTAGGTAACATTTTGCAGGTTGAGGTCCTAATTTGCCACCCGACGCGAAGCGGAGGGTGGCATGGGACCGAAACCTGCAAAATGCCTAACGCACGAAAATTGTATTCAATTTTTTCCCCGACATTGAGTTTATTTTAAAAAATATTTCATTTTAAAAATATTTTCCGAAATGACAAGAAATGAAGTGACAGTTTCGGGACTTGACGTTTACTAAAGGAATCTATAATACCGACAGCCACGAGATAGCGCCATGTGATTTTTTTTTAAATAATTCATTTTTTCTAATTCAAAAGTTTTTATTGAACAAAACAGGATGTAAAGTAGTGTTCTAGTATGTTTTCTTTTATTATTTATACAGAACTTTTTTTTATTAGAGCTTCTACAGGCTAATGCATATTGAGTTACTTTGGCACCCAAAGGCGGTAAAGCGACGGTAAATTGATATTTGGTGCGTAAAGTCACTGTTACGCGGCATGTCAAACGTGTGTGAATGTTTTGTTTACATGTCAGAAGGGGAAAAACGTTATTTACGACCCTAAAACCTTTTCTATTGTAAACAATTTAACTTCGACACAGTGGGATAATTTTATGATGACCATATAACCTTATAGCTCTTGGACTACTATACCTACTCTTGCCAACACGTGGTTGATTCTGGTTTGTAACCTCGTGTTAGCTTCAACACGAAATCCGTACAATTTGGCTCCATAACTCGCGTATTTCCGCTTTCGTACTAGAGTACCAAGAAATAGGTCTCCCGTTTCCTTATCCATCTGTTTGTTTGTCTGCTGTCTGTCCGAATTTTTATTAGATAGATAATCTCCGAAACTACTGAACCGATTGTTTCAAATTTTCATCTCCAACAACAATTTAATGATGTTCTCTCAACATATTGCATAATTAACATTACCGATTTTGTATGAAATAATACTTGTGGGTTACGAATATAACATTTTTATCTAGAAATTGGTTGAGTTTTACTAAAGGATTTGACATTTGCAATCATTTATCATTAAAGAATTTAGGGAGTTAATCCCGCTGAACCAAACGGTTAATTACATTTTGACTAAATATTTTGCAATTCCTGGATGCACAACGATGCTGTTAGCTTTTGACTAATTTTGATGTTACTATAGAATTGTAAACACCAAACAATAACATTAACTAATTTAGTAAATAAAGAGTACCGAAATAGTAAATCACGTTTGGACTCAGATTGTGCAACTTTTGTACTGACGATTTTATGCCCTTTACATGGTTTTTTACACTATTTGAATGGTCAGTGGTAGTTTGCCAAAATAAAATCAGATCACTTGACCAAAATGTTTCCAATTTTCAGTTTTAGCCGATGATTGAACTCTGGAAACACGATTGGCTACGAATGTTTTCCAGGTAGTGGTCCAACTCTTTTCGTTTTTATGGCACCGCAATCTCAATTATCGCAAGTATTAGCAATTCTATTGAAAATGTAATTAGCCGTGCCATAAATCATCTTAAAGGTTTACGGGCGCATACGATCCTGTGTAGTGTAGACAGTTGGTCCCTGGATGGTTTATGACCGCTGGATTACTTACGGCAGAGGCCTATTATGGAACACTTAACTCCTTCACAATAGGATACAGTCATAAAAACGAACCAGCGGTTGGGTTTTCACTTTTATCTGCTCGATAACATCCTGTTTTGTGTTTTGAATAATCGCAAATTAGATAGGTACTTCTGAGTAAGCGTCTTTGAAATCCTTATCATTCCAGAATTTGAATTCCAAAGATTTTAACCGTTCGGCGGCACAAACCCAACAATAAGTAAATATTTAAGCCTAAATTTTCATCTTTTTGAAATGATAAAGAGACCGCGTACCTCCCGTCTTGTTAACGTTTACGATCCTCCTTGAAGATTCTTTCACACAAAACGTCGTCGGCTGTTTCAACAATCGAATTCTGAAAATTGTCTAATTCGCAAAATTTCTCATCGGCGGGTTGAGTATAATGACAAGTGAAGCGATTTACGATACCTTGTCTACTTAAAGCGAAATTATCTACAACATAGCCGAGTTGTTTATTATTATTATCATTCGACAATGGATCTGGTTGTGACTGATTTTGATCCAATAGGGTATTATGGTTCTGTTTGCTAATTTTGCATCGATATTCGGATTTACAACTAGACAAGTTATGATTAAGAAATCAGTAACACATAAGTTCCTTGCCTGTACAAAATTTAATCTGGGTTAGTCACAAGAAAATTACTTCTGAAAATTATTTTTACGCAACCCAAAATACTAATACCACTTGATACTATCTGAATTTAAAATGAAATACCTAATCTACGAAACTATAAGTGTAGGGGTACATGATTGTATAAAATTTAAAATTATGTATTGTTAAAAATTTTGAGAATATGGCATCACGTTTTTGGTGGGGATGATTAGACAAATTTTGGTTAGCGTTTAACAATCGGTCCGGTAGTTTCGAAGATTACGTGATACCAGATAGACAGGCAGAAACGGGAGACTACTCCTTTCGTACTCTAGAGGCCATGAAACGTCAAAAAAACATAAAAGTGGCTGATGGTCTGATGGACTCGATTACTATACTTCCTCAGCTTACGCTCGGGAAGTAAAAATAATACAATGTCTTAATTTTTTAATATTATTTATTTCTATTTACAATTATTAATAAAACAAAAATGGAAAACAATGTTGAAAATTAGGGCAGTTATCCCGAACATCCCCTGCATCCACAGTGAACGCACTCCACTATTCGACCCTGGAAAAAAAAACTGTTAGTATAACATTTCTAACACAAATTAAATAAATCCCACCTCTTCTAATTTGTCCTTAGGCACCCTACAAATACAGGTCGTCCCAAAATTCGTATCCCTGGACTGAATACAGGATAAGCAGCATAAGTTTTCATAGCCTTTTCTCTTAAATTTTGCTATCAAATTTTTATCCGCAATCTTTTCAGTGTGGCAGTAATCATACAGCTCTCGACTGATCGTTTTCCGTCTGAAAAACAGATCGAAAACATATTTGGATTTCTGGTGGGCAATTTTAAAAATTGACCACAGTGGTTCATTTTTTCGCTTGCCTTCATGCGACTCAATTTCAGCTAAAATCGTTACAATCAGTATCAACGCATCTACGACTGATTATTTGGAGACTTACCCTCTCTCATTTTTCGTTCCAACTCATCTAGGGTTGGTTCGATGAGTTCCCATCCAGAGGGTGGCGATTTTTTGCTTCGGCGTACTTTCGGCATGCTCGATTTTTCTAAAATAGAAACAAAATTGTGAATGTTGCATGTTGGTTTTGTTGAAGGGAGAAGCGTTAAGTTAACATTAGAAACTTATAGAAACAGTGTTGCGCAATGAAAGGTAACTCAGGATGAAATGGTTTTTTGTTCCCTCAGAAATAAAAAAACCTTTTTAATCCCTTGTTACTTTAATATACTTATTGGTGTGTAGTAACTTACCAGATTAGCAAAATTTTAGGTGCTAAATTTGAACACAACAAAAAAACAACGCAAACGGGAATTACCCGACGTGAAACGTGAAAGAAATCACTAAGAATAACTTCGAACCTCAGCTCCTACCGTATTTATAGCGGTTGTAGAAGAAAAATGAGGGTGTTAAGGGATGTGCAGGTACAGTCCGTCGCAGTCATTGGTTGGCAACGTACTTAGTCTAAAATGAAGTGAATAAGGTAGTTTGAGAATAATGAAGATTAGCTTTAAAGATGTATAACTAGAAATGATCTGCTCTTCATTCTTTATAGATCAATTTTGAATTGTTAAAAAAAGCAAATTAGTACAAATCGTATGAAAAAAATCCATTGCGCTCTACGGAGATAAAATATCTTAATAATAAATTTAGTTGAAATTTGTGTTCAAACAAACTTTAGCCATTTTTTTGGTCCACTAAAATCCATAACAGGTAATTGATAGAGCCCGTCATTTTAAAGTTTTAAATTCCTCATAATGTAATAATAATTTTATGAGGGTGTCCACCCCCCTAGGTTTTCTTAATGTGTTTAAGTCAGCTATTAGCTAAAAAGCTTGAAAGGTTGATCCGAATTTTTGACCATCTGCAACCAAAGATCTAACGAAATAATAATAAGCTTTACAAATATGAAGTTAAAATATTTCCTTGCAAAGAAAATATTATTATCCATTGTGCATAGTGTATTAAAGTACTGCGAAAGATAATTGCAAACGCCGTCAATTATTTTGTGAGCGGTCTTTAGTACTTTCATTGATTAAATACATATAGATAGACCCATGCTATTGTTTGGAGCGAACAGGCCAACGGCCGGCGAACAAGAGATGGCGCACCAACAGTCGGCCGTCAAACGCCGGCGAAAAGCTTGGACACCAATCGCGCGCGTAGATAACCCAAATCACAGCAACAATACATTTAATAAAGCTACCACTCGACAGAGGGCGACGAAAACAATGTGTAAAAATCTCTTAGTAACCATTTATATAATTTGCAACGTTGCCAGATGAGCCTAGCACAACTTTGCCGTTATTTCTAGTCGATTAGATTTTATTTCGTTTAAAAGTTTCTGGTGAATAAATGGAATTATTATAATGAATAAACAATACAAACAAATTATTACTTGTTATTTTAAATACTTGTTAGTGTTGATGAAAACATAAATGGTAATTAAAGTTATTCTAAATACGGTCCGGTCCGGTAGCTCAAATTTTACAGTACGAGTGATATGTTACAGGACGAGTAGGTAGCCGAGTCTTTAATTTCGAAACGAGTACTGCGAAAAGAGTTACCGGACGTATGTTGTTATCTATTTTATTTCATACTGTCAACATACTTTTTTATTCGATTAAATTATTATTATTTTGAGAAAAAATCCAAATCGAGTCACTTTTTCTGACATCGTTAGCAACCGCTCTTTGGTAAATGTTTTAATTTGTTTATTCGTGCAAATCAGCATCATATGTTTAAACACATAGTACTTATAACACTTTACAGGACTTATTGTTTTGTATAATCCGACTCGATGGACGAATGTTTTGTGCAATCCGTCTCGAAGGACCAATGTTTGTGCAACTCGGCTCGTCCTACCAGTATTTTTTGTAATCTGGTTGATACGACAAAGTGATACCGAATTGTACTTTGATATTGCTCCAATGACTTTTGTTTTATTGCGTGCGAGATAATAGACAGCGTTCGGTTTCGATGTTTAATACAGGACGGTTACAGAAATACTAAATTTACATTTGTATTTACAATAACAGGTAAAGCAAAAGAGACCCAAAAGGGTCAGTGGCCGCTTCCGGAAATGGAAAACTTGTCCTTTTTGGCCACGGAGGTAGAAGAGTGTCTCTTCTACCTCCGTGTTTTTGGCTCAATTTTATCGGACTTGTCCGTTTTTTTGATTTTACCGGAATAGTTCGATCCAGTAAAACGTCAAACTTGACATAGTATGAAGTAAAATAAATAAATTTTATGATGTAAATACAATTAAGTGTATCGATAATTCGCTACTGAAAATTTATTGAAATATAATTTGTGTTAAAAAAAGATTTTTGTGGTTTTATGGTTTATTAAATGTAATTAAAATAAATAATATCAAGAACTTGTATTATATATCAAAAACATTCATTGTAAATAAGAAAATTATGTAAATAAACCATAAAACCATACAAAATTTTCCTGCGACCTCTATTCAAAATCCCAGTTTACCAATAGGAATTAAGGCACAAAGATGTTTCACTGAATTTAATACCGATTTTTCAAGAAAAGTATGCTTATAAGCCTATAAGCGTCTAATGGATTAAAACAACAAATAATAATCACAATTTATTTGTTTTATGTGTTCATTACAATAATCCCATTTATTTACCAGAAACTTCTAAATGAAATAATATCTGGTTGACGAGAAATATCCGCAAATTTGTGTTAGGCTCATCTGGCAACGTTTTCGGTAGGTAGGTATCAATGGAACTAAAAGATTTGGTAATTTTCTTGGAAGAGTTTGTTTCTTCAATGAAAATTTATGGTTTTTAATTCTTCGGCCGCTTGAAAGTCTCGCCATGTGAAAATAGATTATTTGATAACCTGTTTCGTAATAATTGTAAATACGAACAAAAGCATATTTGCATATTCTAAACAACTGGCCATATCGATTCCAAACTTGTACAGATATGTTTTTTATTGTTTCTGTTTTCAATGAAATAAATTTTATTTGCAAAATACTTAATGTCTAACGACATATCACGCATACATACTACCCCATTTACTATATTTTCAATCTGTGCATTTTTCGCTTCATTCGTAGGAGCCAAGTAAGAAGTATCAGTGAGACCGGCGGTCTTTCAAAAGCTCGTAAATGAAAAGATTTAGTAAAGTTTCCTAGAACAGTCTGTCTCTTCATAAAAAAATGTAGACATTTTTACTATGAAATATTGGTACAATACGCTATATTCCACTGTTTGTTTTCTTTGAGATACGACTAGTTCTTGTTCCGAAGTGAAACACCAAAAAGTCTAAAGTCCGGAAATCAGAGTGAATTTTAAAACACATAAAACGACTTCTTTATTTATTTAAATATTATCCTGTAACGTCCTGTGACGTGGAATGGAGTTTCTTAATGTACAAAAGTATGTTAGATAATAACCGAAAAATTTTCTTGATTAAAACTAAAGGAAACACAATTATTACTTGGAATAAAAATAAAGAATATCAAGAACTTGTGCTATGTATTAAAAATATTTAATTTCAAATAAGTAAATTATTTATGATGAGTCGACATTTGCATGCGTCATGGCTGCTAGTGAAAAAAAATTTTTATTTTGCTGTTTTAAAACCATGGTTACCATTTCTGTAATTTCTCCAATGTCTTGCTGCTCTTTCCATCTAAGGAACTTTTGATACACTTTCTGATTTGCTCTTTTTTGGGAGCAAGTTTTGCCGTTGGAATCTTGCATGATTTTGCAATTTTTCGATAATTTTAGTTTGTTTAAAATAAACAAACACCGTCGCCAGAGTCACATACTACACACACACACCTGATATTGTAACCTAAATTCTACGCATATAAAACTTTTATTTGGTCGCTGTCAATTCTGACGTTTCTCGAATGTGAACTTTGAATCACCAATTTTTTCACAATTTGGGACTTGGGGTTGTCAAAATTGAATAAAAGTTTGTATTACACTCGCGGTTAAAATGAATGTGTAACTCGTGGTCTTAAACTGGCCGCTCATTAAACATTCACTTTAACCGCTTATATAATAAATAACTATTATGATGTAAATACAATTAAGTATATCGATAATTCACTACTGAAAATTTATTGAAATATAATTTGTGTTAAAAAAAGATTTTTGTGATTTTATGGTTTATTAACATAATTTACTTATTTGAAATTAAATATTTTTAATACATAGCACAAGTTCTTGATATTCTTTATTTTTATTCCAAGTAATAATTGTGTTTCCTTTAGTTTTAATCAAGAAAATTTTTCGGTTATTATCTAACATACTTTTGTACATTAAGAAACTCCATTCCACGTCACAGGACGTTACAGGATAATATTTAAATAAATAAAGAAGTCGTTTTATGTGTTTTAAAATTCACTCTGATTTCCGGACTTTAGACTTTTTGGTGTTTCACTTCGGCACAAGAACTAGTCGTATCTCAAAGAAAACAAACAGTGGAATATAGCGTATTGTACCAATATTTCATAGTAAAAATGTCTACATTTTTTTATGAAGAGACAGACTGTTCTAGGAAACTTTACTAAATCTTTTCATTTACGAGCTTTTGAAAGACCGCCGGTCTCACTGATACTTCTTACTTGGCTCCTACGAATGAAGCGAAAAATGCACAGATTGAAAATATAGTAAATGGGGTAGTATGTATGCGTGATATGTCGTTAGACATTAAGTATTTTGCAAATAAAATTTATTTCATTGAAAACAGAAACAATAAAAAACATATCTGTACAAGTTTGGAATCGATATGGCCAGTTGTTTAGAATATGCAAATATGCTTTTGTTCGTATTTACAATTATTACGAAACAGGTTATCAAATAATCTATTTTCACATGGCGAGACTTTCAAGCGGCCGAAGAATTAAAAACCATAAATTTTCATTGAAGAAACAAACTCTTCCAAGAAAATTACCAAATCTTTTAGTTCCATTGATACCTACCTACCGAAAACGTTGCCAGATGAGCCTAACACAAATTTGCGGATATTTCTCGTCAACCAGATATTATTTCATTTAGAAGTTTCTGGTAAATAAATGGGATTATTGTAATGAACACATAAAACAAATAAATTGTGATTATTATTTGTTGTTTTAATCCATTAGACGCTTATAGGCTTATAAGCATACTTTTCTTGAAAAATTGGTATTAAATTCAGTGAAACATCTTTGTGCCTTAATTCCTATTGGTAAACTGGGATTTTGAATAGAGGTCGCAGGAAAATTTTGTATGGTTTTATGGTTTATTTACATAATTTTCTTATTTACAATGAATGTTTTTGATATATAATACAAGTTCTTGATATTATTTATTTTAATTACATTTAATAAACCATAAAACCACAAAAATCTTTTTTTAACACAAATTATATTTCAATAAATTTTCAGTAGCGAATTATCGATACACTTAATTGTATTTACATCATAAAATTTATTTATTTTACTTCATACTATGTCAAGTTTGACGTTTTACTGGATCGAACTATTCCGGTAAAATCAAAAAAACGGACAAGTCCGATAAAATTGAGCCAAAAACACGGAGGTAGAAGAGACACTCTTCTACCTCCGTGGCCAAAAAGGACAAGTTTTCCATTTCCGGAAGCGGCCACTGACCCTTTTGGGTCTCTTTTGCTTTACCTGTTATTGTAAATACAAATGTAAATTTAGTACTTCTGTAACCGTCCTGTATTAAACATCGAAACCGAACGCTGTCTATTATCTCGCACGCAAGAAAACAAAGGTCCTTGGAGCAATATCAAAGTGCAATTCGGTATCACATTGTCGTATCAACCAGATTACAAAAAATACTGGTAGGACGAGCCGAGTTGCACAAACATTGGTCCTTCGAGACGGATTGCACAAAACATTCGTCCATCGAGTCGGATTATACAAAACAATAAGTCCTGTAAAGTGTTATAAGTACTATGTGTTTAAACATATGATGCTGATTTGCACGAATAAACAAATTAAAACATTTACCAAAGAGCGGTTGCTAACGATGTCAGAAAAAGTGACTCGATTTGGATTTTTTCTCAAAATAATAATAATTTTATCGAATAAAAAAGTATGTTGACAGTATGAAATAAAATAGATAACAACATACGTCCGGTAACTCTTTTCGCAGTACTCGTTTCGAAATTAAAGACTCGGCTACCTACTCGTCCTGTAACATATCACTCGTACTGTAAAATTTGAGCTACCGGACCGGACCGTATTTAGAATAACTTTAATTACCATTTATGTTTTCATCAACACTAACAAGTATTTAAAATAACAAGTAATAATTTGTTTGTATTGTTTATTCATTATAATAATTCCATTTATTCACCAGAAACTTTTAAACGAAATAAAATCTAATCGACTAGAAATAACGGCAAAGTTGTGCTAGGCTCATCTGGCAACGTTGCAAATTATATAAATGGTTACTAAGAGATTTTTACACATTGTTTTCGTCGCCCTCTGTCGAGTGGTAGCTTTATTAAATGTATTGTTGCTGTGATTTGGGTTATCTACGCGCGCGATTGGTGTCCAAGCTTTTCGCCGGCGTTTGACGGCCGACTGTTGGTGCGCCATCTCTTGTTCGCCGGCCGTTGGCCTGTTCGCTCCAAACAATAGCATGGGTCTATCTATATGTATTTAATCAATGGTACTTTGGACCGCAACCTGCAATAAAACCATTACGAACCCTTCCCAACGGAGGTACGACTTCAGCCAGAGCCGGACTTCAAATTTTGGAGCGTTCATATATAAATCATGGTAGAGTTAATTTTTATTGGGATTTTTCTAGGAAATATGTATTTGCAAAGATTTAAAAAGTTTTAAGAACCACACTTTCATGTATCCTTAGGTAAATTTTAAGATTAAATTCCTTGAAAGCGGTCCGGTTAACAATCTGCCTGTTCACGTATTGAAACAAATACGGTCCTGGAAAGTTAAGGGTGACGAGTAATCTTGATTGACAGTTTTATGCTGGGTGCACATTCGGAAGTGGTTGGAAATTTTACAGCTGCAATTCCCATAACTGGAGTCATTTGCAAATATCTTGCGTCGTATAATAATGCATCATTGGTAAAAATATGATACCGAAATTCAGCAGTAGTACAATAATTGTAATTAGGGATGTAATTTCAAATATAACATCGAATAGTTGACTAAATTATATGGGCACGCTATTAACCAACGGAATATTTATTTATAATTGTAGTCCTAGAACTAATTATACATGTGAATGATGAAACTAGTGACGAAGAATTGTAGCAATGTAAATTATCTGTTTGAACTTGAACATTTTTTTAGCTAAATTGTTGCGACGATTATTATCTGTTCAAAAATTAAAAGACCACTCAACCGACAACGGCGTCTAGCGAGATTTTTGGCGCCAAGATGTGCTGTCAAAAAAATAAGGTTAAGATGACTATGGTTTTCAAAGATATTGAATAAGTAATATATAACCTCTTCGATGGTTTTCATACAAAAACACGTTGTTTTTGTTTATTTTAATTTGACACTTTTGTCATTAAATTTCAAATTTGAGGTTTTTTTGTACTACCAACTTGCCCGTGTAAAAATAAGCCCTAGACGCGTTTTCTTTGTACCAACTTAATTCTATAGGTGGTGGTTTTTTAATTTTTGAATAAACAGTATGATTTTATGACACCAGAAAGACATTTTCACAAAATAAAACAAACGGCGTTTCCATTTTTTCGGTCGTGGTAGTACATCTGTGGATATGTTATTTCCCTTGCTTCCTCACCCCCTCTCAGCTTTATACCTTCGGCAACATAAATCTACCTGAATCCATTTTTAGGCGGAGGGTCATAAACTAGCCGAGATTTATTGCTCTTTCGTCAAAAACAGATGATAAGTAGAGAGCGGATTTTATGAAACTTGCATATCCGTTATATTTTGCATATATGTATAAGTCTTGATATTTATTATGTGGTGGATGTGTGCCAAAATAAGGCAAAACGCCGACCCATTTTGCGCTTTCATTTTAACAATTGGAGAGCAGGGCGATACATGTACGTGCTCATAACATTAAAATGTTTAAGAAAGAATTTTGTATTTTTAAAAAAACGTAGCAGTTTTTAAAATAAAAAATAAAGTGCGTAAAACAAGAGCTGATTTTCAACGAAAACTGTAACTCGGTGTGCTTTTAAAAAATATTTTCGAGGTTATAGAGAATTGTTTTCTACTTTGGGCGCAATTTTTCGTTTTCTTCTAAAATTTTACTTCTTTTAGTTTTTGTAAAAAAACTTCAATGCATTTGGGGCAAATTTTAGTAAGTTAGACAAGCCAAAATATTAGCTCAGGCGGTCAGCTGTAATTTATGGCCCACATAATAGAGCACCTTTTAAATACTTTAAGGTTATTTGACCCTATATACCTATAAGTTTTCAAATTTCTTATACTGGGTCACTCATAAAAATTAATGAAAAAGTCAATTTATTTTTTTTTATTAAATCGAGAACGGCTCATTCCGTTTTCCCGAAAATTTGGGAATACAATATTGTTATCATTAGTATTATACTGCGCATATCCAAAGTGATATACGTGTCTTTGCAAAAATGTTGATAACGTCATTACAAAATTTTGTTAAAGGAAAATTCATTTGGAACGTACGCCCAGCACGCTTCTTTACATTTACTTTAACGTTACATACATATCTTTATTTTAAATTATAAGGATCCTCATAAAAAAATTAAATTCGCATAATCAAATTTTATAATTTTTCGAAAAAGCTGGATTTGTTTTATTGTATTTCAGAAGCGAGGGAAGTTCTGTCGAAATAACCTTCGACCAATTTTTTCAATTGCTGTTTAAAAAACACGCCAGAAATTTATTAGGTTGCAATGCGAGTTCAAGACTGTGAGCTGTTATAGTGACCACCCGTAAAATAAAAAAAAAATATTAACATTCTTCCAAAATACAGGTACGAAAGTTTTTTTCATCACATTACATTTTGTTTTGTTTAATAAAAAAGAGCCTGACTTCGAAGGACAAAGAGAAGAACAAACCGATATTTCTTGTAGCAGTCTTCTAAATTCAGATCTTGAAAGTATAACAAATGAAGCTGGTTCTGCAAAGAGCATCACTTCAAGTTCCATAATTAATGGTGTTGTCACTTTTTTTAAAAAATTAATAAATGATAAAAATGTTTTTTGTTTGCAAATTTCAATTATCCGTATATAATAATGACTATTTAGCAATGATTGACGTAAATCATGGAGAAAATAAAAACTTTAAAGGCACAATAAAGCCATTCAAAAAAATGTATGCCAACTCAGGCACATTTCCCCTACCAAAATAGTAATTAAATAGTCGATTATATTTATTCAACTAGTTGGGTAATAACAGCGATTAACGATCGAGCGAAGGGAGCGAGTGGAATTAAAAATAGGCGAGATCGTTAATCGCCATTACCCCACGTGTTGATTACAATATTTTTTCGACGATCGTAATTTTCGAAAACAGCAATTTGAATCATATTTTTAACATTTCTTATGCAACCAACAATGCTTTGACATTTCTGTCGAGTTTATTTTATTGAAATTTGTTTCATAATACATTTTTGATTAAAAAAACACCCTGTTGATTCAACTTTTAAATATCGCGTTAATTTTAAAAAACTTTGAAACTGAAATAACAAACTTTATTAGATTGGTATGCAACCAACAATACACTGACATTTCTGTCGACTTTAGTTTAATCGTTGAATAATGAGACTCATTATTGATCAATTTTGAACACCAAATTTGTTCGTAATTTTCACATTAATAAACGATCGTCGGAAAATACTATTTTTCAAATTATTCTGTTTAAATTTATTTTTTATAAGTTCAGGGAATTTTTATTCTTCTGCATCGAATACCAAGAAACTCACTAGATTTTCATGGCCAACCCTACTATATAAAGATCGTGAACGGATAATACTTTGCGCTTTCTAATGATAACTCAATCAACTTTTCTTCTACAACCTGTATAAATACGGCAGAAGCTGAGCATCAAAGTTATTATTAATTTTTATGTTTCATGTCACGTTAATTTCGTTTGTGTTTTGTAACTACAAAAGTTTTGTAGTACATATAATAATAGTTGTGTTGTCGTGTTCAAATTTCGTACTTAGTATTTAGTGCTTTTATTACCCCAAAACGGCAACACTGCTCCCACTAATTATCTTACCAACGAAATTGCAAATGGCCGTGACGTACCAGAAGCTGTTGAAGTGTTGACGTGAAACAGTCGTAATTAATAACAAATAAAAACGGCTAGCTTTTGGTAAGTTTGAATTACCAGGCGTGATAAGTTTATTGTGTACGTTTGTTTAACCGAAAATGGACGAATTGCAAAATTACCGTTTGCAACTGCAACAAGTTGAAGCAGCCCTGTTGAGTGACCCTGACAACAAGGAACTTCAAAAGCTAAAAGTCGATCTCGACGAAGTCATCGAGCTCTCCCTAGACTTAAAAAACAAAGCCGAAGAAGCCGCAAATCAGCCTGAGTACACAGAGCCCGTTGGGGTAGCCGAAGAAGATGAAATCACAAAGTCCCTCCTTGCAGTCGAGCAGTTTGTCGCGAGAAACAAATCGAAAAAAATGTGGCGGATTGGCGACATTTGTCTCGCCAAGTGGAGTGACAATGGACAATATTACGAAGCCCGAATCGACGCTATCCTTCCGGATGGACAGGTAAATGTGACATTCGAAGCTTATAAAAATCGCGGGGTTACTACCTTAGCCGAACTTAAAGAATTCACAGGGGCGAAACGTGTCTTAACTGAAGCTGAAAGACTAAAGCGTATTAAGATGATGAATAACCGCGAATACTTGAAGAAAAAGAAGCTGAAGAAGCAACAGAGATTCAAAGAGTTGGAAGAAGAGAGGGAGACTGAGAAGAATAAGTGGTTGGCGTTTACTAACAAAGCCGCGAAAACTAAAAAGAGCGGGCTTAAAACTAAGAGTATTTTCGCGTCTCCGGATTCCGTTAATGGACGAGTTGGGATAGGCACGTGTGGGATAAGTGGAAAGCCAATGACTGAGTTCACCACAGCCGAAAAGTGGAGGAAAGGAGTCTAATGCCATTTACTCATCACAGATGAAGTAAAATATAATTGTTTAGTGAATGCATAAGTTCTGATTTTTGTAATTTAATTTAGATTGTAACCAATTTACTGTAAATACATGTTTTCTTATACAAAGTTCAACTTATGTTAATTAACAAGCACAGGTTTTCTCGAGGGGGTACAAATTTTTTTCTAGAGTAATTTCTTGCATGTCACCAAAATCATTTTTCGGCTCATCACTAACCACTAACGTTTCAGTAATTTTCTTGAATAATAACTTAATATTTAAACCTACTTTTGCGCTAGTTTCAACAAAATTAACGTTTAATTCTCTGGCTTTTTCTTCACCATCTTGATGTGATACTTGTCGTAATTCACTTAAATCAACTTTGTTTCCTACAAGAAATACTATAACGGCGTCTCCTCGTTCGCTTCGTACGTCATTTATCCACTTTGTTGTTTGATGAAAAGATTCTTCATTTGTGATGTCATATACAACTACAGCAACTGAAGAATCTCTAATGTATGCCGGAATTAAAGAGCGAAAGCGCTCTTGTCCAGCCGTGTCCCATAATTGTAAACGTACAGTTTTATCCGTCAAGTACATAGTTTTTGATAAGAAATCTATTCCTACAGTTGCTTGGTAAGATGTATCAAAACTATCGTACATAAACTTTGTAATAATAGAAGTTTTACCAACACTTTGCTCCCCCAAGAACACTAATTTATATTTTTGTAAAGTAGGACTGTAATCTTGGGAGATTGAAAACTTTGTCATTGTGGCTCTGACAGAAAAATTAAATGTCAAAAACTTTGTCAAAGCCTACTTTGTTGCAAATAATCCAAAATGGCAACTTAACAAATTTAATATCACTAATATAATAAATATTTACAATTTTAGACTACACTTTAAATTATTCCTTATTCTCATTCTTTAATCTAGCCTCGAATTTTCGCAAATGTTGCTCAGCAACTAGATCTACTTGATCTTGAACCTGTTCAACCCCCAGGATCTCGGGGATATAAAACTGTAACATATTCTGGACCCCATTCTTCAAAGTAACAATAGAACTTGGACAACTAGTGCATGCACCTTGTAATTTGAGTTTAACAATTCCATCATCATACCCTATGAAAACTATATCACCTTAAAATAACAAATTAGTAGTGACACTTTCACCCTTAATTAAAACCAAATACCTCCATCTTCTTGTACCGTAGGTCGTATTCGCGTATCCAACAATTCTTTAATCATTTGAACAATCTCACTATCGTCGTCATTTATTTCTGTTGGAGACATCTATTAGAAATTTTAATATCACAACTACAACACTTACGCGTGTCTGCATTGGGCGTCACATCAGAAAGCACTGGCAATCCACTAGCAAAGAAATCCATAATGGTGGCAAAAATCTCAGGTTTGATTACCTTCCATTCCACTTCATCGTCGATTTTTGTGATTGTAATAAAATCGGGCCCCAAGAAGACGCTCTTCACGCCTTCAATTCGAAAAAGCTGCTTTCCTAGGGGCGAACAAAACGCTGCTTGCCCAGTGGGAAAATCTATGGTTTGTCCGGGTTCCAAAACTTTGACGCCTGGTAAAAATTTCAAGCTGTTTGGATTTGGGGTGTCTTGAGTTTGCACGAACATCGCCAATTTCGAAGTGGTGCTGATGTTGCAAGTCAGGTCATTTCTAAACGACTGAGGTCCACTGAAAATTGTTGTCATAACCTCAAATAAATAAAATTTGTTCGTACTTACTTTTTGGGACATAATGATAACTTCGGACCCTGATGGGACAGTTTAGAAATTATATTTAGTGTATTGCGCCACATTGTTTTGCAGATTTGTGTCTATACTTTTTTAGGTTATGTCGGCATTTCACAATAATAAAACAAGAAGTGTTACGGTTTGAAACACTTGCGGTTTAAAAAAATGTCAGTGTTTTTACAATGTTAATTACTCTTTCATGGAAAAAAGACTGGAAAATTACAATAAAAATATTTTCTGACGTTTCGAATTTGACAGCAGATTTTGACAGAGTGGCGATTGACGTCAGTTAGTTACGCGCAATTTTTCAATTTTTTGTAATTATTATTTTAATGGATTTAAATTTATGCAAATAGACTAATGACATGGATGGCATTAAACTTTTATTTATATTTACTGTTTATCTGTGGGATCAGACTACGTTTCTTAGAAAAATCGACATACTTCATAATTATTCAATAAAAATGCCGCAGGACAACTATGAAACACGACAATAAAATCCGTTATTTATATTAAAACAGAGTTGCTTTATTATTTCCTGGAAAAACCGTGTTTTATCTAGAGTGCATTACAATCATTTTACATTAATTTGTACAAGAAAAAATAATGGTAACATGTCTCTGTTTTCCTCTCTCTGGTAAATAATAGGTATATGTGTAATGGACAGCGCAGCCATCAGTAATATATTGATTATGTGATATGGATAAAAGGGGATATTAGTAATATTACTGTCATATGACAAGAACAAGATAAATATGGCGAATGTCACATTAATTTCTATAGGTTTTTTTGATATCACACTTATTGGACCTATCGAAGAATAGTAAAGTCTAAATATGCTCAAAATTTAAACCTATTTACATCTAAATTACAAACTGTTAGCTAAGAAATAGGATGCATAATGAGGCGGACCACCATCCTGCTGAAATATACTTAGGGGGAGATTCTCGAAACTCGACAAGGCCTTGCAAGGATCTGCAAATTCAAAACCATAGCAACATGTATTGTTGTTGCATTGTATTTGCAGTTTCGATAGCGATTTGCAACTTATCGGAGTTTCCAGAATCTCCCCGTTAGTTTTTTATACTATTAAGATTTCTTGTGTTTTCGAATTCCAAAATTCTACATAAAGGAAACAGATTATTGTTAAATACCTAAAAAACAGTCTTTGTTCCTCTGTAAAAATGAGGTATGATGTTTTAAAAAAATATAAAATATCAGCTCTAATTCGAAAATTGGTGGAATGAATTGTATTAAGCTAATAAGTAAAATAAAAATAAGTAGATGCTAGAAAATAATTAAAAACTGATTAGATGTATTTCATTACAAGACAAGTTTTTCACTCTGTGAAAAAACGTATCCGCAGGTACTTCTGTAATGTGGTAGTTCTAACCATAATTAGTCACTTTATAGCTTAATTTATAATGGAGCATTCATTAATCTGTCTGATTTTTAAAAAACTTTATTTATTATGTAGTTGCATTAAAATTTTATTGACGTGTCGTAACTTCTGGGCGACGGGCGCAGTCATTAACATTTTTAATAATAATGAGAATGCAACAGTAATAAGAAAATCTAAAATTAGAATAAATTTGAAAAAACTTGGCATCGTATTCCACACAATACTGTGTTATAAGTCTACACATACTAAGAAAAAAAAGGCAAAATCTAGCCCCTATCTCAATTGTGATGATTTTTTTTTATTCGTCGTGAGCAAAATCCTTATTTCTCAACGAGAAATTAAAAACATATTTTTTCTACCGCGCACGTTTTTTGATTTTCTAATAGAGCTATTAAAGCACCCAAATGACGTCAAAGCGGTTCGTTAATAACGGAAAGGGGTTCTGAAATAGATCTGGTGTAATTTAGATCGGTAATATTGGTAGCCATGACGAGAAATGTCAGGTGAATGTCAGTGGCAAATGTCAAATTAAAATTTCCCGTATTTCGGGAGGCGTAAGGACTTCACTAACTTCTTCACAAGACATTTTGACCAATTTTAACTTACAAAAACTCGAATTGATTCGAATTACAGTTGTTGTTGTGAAAATTCGAACTTCAAATATTTCGTGGTTAGTGTCGGACCAACCCATCACCATTTACATTTTGCCTTTTTGTTTTAATATGTGTAGACTTCTTTTCACAACATGAAACTTAAAACATGTTTAAAAAGGAAAATTTGTATAAGGAAATATCAATTTTGCAATTAGGCTCCGCCCCATAATTGCGAAACCCATATTTCCTTGCATAAACCATTTAACCATGTTTTAAGTTTCTTGTTATGAAAAGACGGCAAAATATTAGGAAGAATGGTAATAAAGTCCGTCGGGTGACTCTCTACTTTTACATTTTCTCGACCATTCATGACCCCTAGAGTACGAAAAATTGAGTCTGTTTTTGCAGAGTGATTCTTCTGTAAGTACTCTCTGGCTGTGCGAGTGAGTTGTCGTCGTCACCCCTTGGTGCTTGGTATCTGGGGCGAACCGCCCCGACCGCCCCCCCTTTACGCCGCCACTGACCATGACGCCTTCGTGGACCTGCTTATGGTTATAAATTTTACGTCCTTTTTATAATTTAAACTGAAAGTGTTAAATTTTAAGAAATAAAAGAAAGAAAACAATTTTTTAACTTAAGTTTTCCGGGCGGATATTTACAAGCCGTTTTTACACCACTAAAATTTTGACACTACAGTGACAGTGTTTAAAGTACGTTCTGTCAGTTTCTGTTTGCCCCATTTAATATCGCCCTATTTGTGTTGATAACGTTTCAGACTAAGCTTTATTCATCCAAAGTAGTTCTGATTTTTTTAAATGTTAGCAGTCTTAACCAGCTAGAAAACTGTTAGAAAATAAACGATAAAAAATACTGATGTGTAGGTATAATTTATTACAAAATCAAAAATCCACTACTTGTTGAATTCATTAAAAAAAAACGTATATTGCGTAATGATTTCATTATTCTAAGAATGGTATTACAAGTTTGACAATTTCTTGTGACAAATTGTCAGTCTGAAGTTTAAAAATAGAAATAAACTGGCAACGAAAATGAAAACAGGAAGGAATATTGGCAACGTTGCCAGTTGTATTTTCGAGGAAATTGCGGTATTGGTGGATTTTTATTTTGGAATAACACAGCATTCCTCTCCATCAATAATACTGTTACGTTGAGCGGGCGAATAAAATCGGCGTAGATTAAACTCAACAATTTATTTCTTAATAACTCGATTTTACACGACTAACTATTGCAACGATTATGTGCAGAAATGATTCCGGCGAATTTCACTGGACGCTCTTGATTCAACTAGCTCAATGAATCCGTTTCCCAAAGGTGGATTCTATTTAAACAGCCCGCGGTCCTTCCCGAAACCCTACGTCACCGCTTCCAGACTTCTCCGGAACCCCCATTCGCGACTTCCGTTTCGAGGCTATTAATGTTTGCGATTTTTTTGTCAGGTTGGCGACATATTTAAAATTTTATAATGGCATACCTGATATAAAACTGAAATTTTGGGCGTCAATTCTGTAGCTGCCATCTTCTCATTAATTTTTAGGCGCGCTCATGTCAAAATTGACCATTGTCTAACATTGCTGCCAATAATTCAGAACTGCCAACTCAAAAATTTGCTTCAATCATTAATAGTCCCCCGGTATTAAAGGACCTTGTTTCCATTTTTGGTTAAGAAAAACTATTGAGGAAATGATGGTGCAACACATGGTCACCTTGGACCATCAATGGTAAAACAAACAAGTTCTAACAAAGTAAAAAATAAATTAATTAATTCAAAAAGAATCTCTGGAATATGATTACATGAAATTGTAAGAACTCTACATTTTTTTAAGTGAAAATAAAATGTAATACGTGTGTAATTTTCAATGAAAATACGTAACGGTAACAGTAAAGGTAACAGTTTGATGTTCGAGCAAAAATTGCTCTTGAAGATTATTTAGGATCATTTATTAGACAGAACTTTCCTTGCTCCTGAAATACAACATATCCAACTTTTTCGAAATATCATAGAATCTGATTTTGCGACTATAATTTTTTTATGATAATCCCTAAACTTAGTCCACTTTGCAATAACCGAATAACCCTGACAAATTAATAAGTATAATGTTGGATCATTAGGGATTTTTTATTTTGATACAGAAACACAACCTTCAGTGACGTTTGACATGGTTACCAAATCGACTTTATTGGCTACGTACACAGAGGAAGAAAATGAGAAGTCATATTCACACTGCCAAAAAATTACGTATGTGACCTTGAAAGGATTAATGCAGCGTGAACCAAGTGTGTAAGTTAAAATAAAAATGTTAAAGTACACTCAAATAAGTGAAGAATAAACGGATACATTTTGATTCATGATTTACTATACTAACGATAATTTTAAAACGTTGTCAAGATTTCAGAGCACTCAGTCAACTCAGTTTTGGAGTTTCAAAGTGAAATTGTAAAATGTTGTTACACATTTTTGATTTTATTCCAAAAATCTGGATGTCTACGGTAAAATCAAGACAAACTTATAAAGCACAAGTGTAGGAGTATGATTTTATAAAATTTAATAACATTTAGGTACTACGCAAAATTCTGAGGTGACGTCATCATCTTATTGGTGGGGATTAATAGACAAATTCTGATTAACGTGAAACCATCTACATAATACTCCTAGGGTGTTAAAAAAAACTCAACGGATATTATTAAGTTAACAAGTCTACGTTCCACAAAAATCATTAAAAAATTTCTTATTACGTCAAGTTGACGTCCAAAAAATGAAACATTAGCCACTGTTGTCAGATTCATTGTGAACAATTTTTAAGTTGTTTGTAATATTATAAAATGAAGAACATTATGGATAAAGACATGACACTTCCAAAATTATTTTGAATAGTGAAAATCTGATCGATTTCGTGTAGCCAACACTAAGTAATGAATGGAAATATAGTCAAATATTTAAAAGAGTGCGCTCTATAGAAAATGTGACAACAATTGGTACAGAAGATTGGAAGATTATTATCTGTCTAATAAAAATCAACACAGACCGAAACGCGTGACCTATGTTTTCATACTTTAGGATCATAAAACTTCGAAAAAACATCCTGTTCCAATATCTATTTCCTTAGCTTACGCTCAAGAAGTAAAAATACATCTGTACCATCGGTGGACAAAAAAACTGGGACGCAATAATTGGTAACTAAATAATTCTGAAAATTTGAAACGTGTAAGTTGGGTTTTTGTCAAGAAAATATAATTTTACAACATATGACTGACACCGTGACACCAAGGAAAGCATTTTGAATGACTTTTGAGACCTACTTACAATACTAAATTTTTAGTATGCCAGTTTTTTATTTCCACCCATGACAAATTTATACACAAAAATATAAACAAATTTATAAGTTAATTTGTTTATTAATACAATCATTATTATAAACATATTATTAATGAAAAATATTTACAAACGTGATTCATAAACAAATTAGTAATTATATGTACAATTTATAAATTGACAAATATTAATATTAATAATTTTTTACTGAATGATAAATTAAAATCTGACAAAATTGTCGAACCGCTGACTCATCATATGATGTAACGATTTGTGACGTCGACAACTGTGTGAAAGAAAAACAAGTTTATAAACAATTATTTATTAAAAATTATTATTATACATAAATTTTAGAATTAAATATCGATGCACAATCAAGTTAAACATTTTCTAAAAACTTGGTTTGGAAAATTGTTTAGAAATCATTTCATAACTATATTCATAAATAAATTATTTATAAAAATATATAAAAACAAATACATAAATAGACAAAAAAATATAAACAAATTTATAACCAATAAATTCATACATAATGGGACGTATAAATAATTTATAAAAAATTGGTCGGAGGTTATTTAGACAGAACTTCCCTCGCCCCTGAAGTACAATAAAACATATCCAGCTTTTTCGAAAAATTATAAAATTTGACTTGTGAATTTTATTATTATTTTTTAATGAGAGCCCATATACGTTGGAATAAAGATAATTATTTGCTGTTAAATTACGCGTGCTATGGATTTGTTTCAAGTGGGTTTTTTCTGTACAAGTGTTTTCCTCATTTAAACAATAAAATAATATGACTTATTCTTATAACTTTAAAATTTTGCAAAATATTGTTCTACAATTTCGATTTTTTTTTCCAAAAATATGGATAAAAACTCAAGACGTATTCATAAACTACACGTGTAGGAGTATGTTATTTTATACAGTTTAATACAAAATACAAATTCTTTTTCGTAATATTATTGCTCAGAATGAAAGTCATTAGTAGTACTAGTAATCCTGCAATGTCTGAATTGTTTTGGTCATGTGGAGTCACATTGTTTACAAAAAGTTGTTTATCTCGCATGTGGCTTAAAAAGTAATTTATTCAACTTGTAAACAGTCACGCCAGATCTAGTAATTTTATCATAGGACAAGGTGACATAAGCGACAATTTCGCCCTTTGTGTATTCTATTATACGGGTCAGTCACTTAACGAAGTCAACGCTGGAGCTTCTCTGAGTACAAACAACGCGTTTCTCCTGAAGATTAATCAACGTTATCTCTGATACACGTGCATTCACGTACTTTCTCGTTTTATCATTCAAGTTTATTTGTGTGTGGTGATTTTTTCACGATTACCCGATTACACGATTACACGATTAGTCCTTTGATCATTTTTAGAATTCAAAAGATTCGTAAATACCATTATTATTATCGCTATCACAGCGCTTCGTGACACATGAATTACATTATCACCAAAACTGAAATTTACTTTGAATTTACTGCTTCATTTAGAATCCACTCAGCCATAAATTTATGCAGCGTTTGCACAAACGTCCGATTGCATCAATCCCCGTTAACCGATAAATAAATCATAATTCCTGCAACAACCATCAAGAAAAAAAAATCCTTCAATGCAGTACCCACAAGCCATAAACACCTTTTACATAACAAGCAAAAACAATACAAAACGACGTAAAAAACCACGCGACATACATTATTCATATCAGTGGAGAAAAATCCAGGAAAACACACCTCTAATACGCAGTACTTGAAACGAGGAAACGTAGTGCAAGGAGAGGTGGATAAGGTACAAAAGCTCGTCCAAAACACTCCCCACTCGTGTCAAAGCCTTGTTTGTTTACTTTTCAGCAGGAAAAGTGGGAGAAGTACACAATCGAGACAACTAATAAGAGGGGGTTCCACTTATATAACTTGAGTCAGCGCTGACAATTCGTTGTGTTTCCTTATCGCACGAGCATCGTTTTTTCCACACTGTGTACCATGTCGGCATCCCCTATGGCCAGACAAGTCACTGAGAGCAAAACCATTCCCACCAAAAAAGTGTACATTAACGACCCTTCGGACCTCCCGTCGCACTACTCGTCAACCCCTGGAGGCACCCTCTATTCCACCACTCCAGGAGGTTCGTTATTGTTATTATTACTATTATTATTGTTTGTGGTCGTTAAAATTAAGCAACTATTTTTGTTATTCTGAGTTAAAATTTATCGTTATCAACTGCGAGTTCATCACTTCTTCGCTTATGTAATTGTGGAAAAACAACACAGCCGCGACTGCACGTGGCGAATTTATAATGCGACCTTGAGTAAAGTCTGATAATAGTAAACACTCGGAGTTAATTCTGGCAAATTTTATAAATACGCAGTAAAAGTGTGGAAATTCACCTGACTTGCTACAGTTTCGAAAAAAAAGTCAAAAAAGCCCAGCGTCTGACCTGGTTTTTCGTAGCACTGACCCAGTGCAAGTTAAAACTTGACCAGACGCACGTAGTCTTTGTATTTTTCCTTTTCGATTAATAATAATTGTAGACTGGCAATTAGTGTCAAGGCGCCTTATTTTTAAGAACAACGGAAGCGGGTTGTCCTATTTGTGACGTGTCGTTATCTCGTTGTCCTTTTGCTTCCTTTGTCGCTGCAGCTGTCATGTAATTAAACCCAGAACCGTGTTTTTGTTTGTGTCGTGGTGACACGTATTCGATAACATATCTAACATAATCCAAGCCAGCCATAAATTTTACTGTGGGTTATTTTTATACCTGGTCAATTAAAAAGGCAACCTTACGACTTTCCGAACAATTTGTTGTTGCTGTTATGCAAAACAGATAACGCGTCCACAATTTTGCATATTTATTGTGATAGCGAATATCCTTGAGACACCATTGAACCGAGTGGTGTTTAAGTTGAAGATACGATCTTATCTGAAGATTCCTGAGACAAAGCGGGAGACTTTTATTTTTAATTGTCGTTGCAGGTACGAAAATAGTCTACGAGAAGGCGTTCCTGATGAACTTGAGGAACTCCCCCATAGCGAAAACACCCCCGAGTTACGGAATCCCCGAGTCGTTGATGAAGGGCAAACCCAACCACTACAACGGAACTAACAAACGGTGCTCCAACACCAACAACCACATCTCGAGGAAGATCGACGATTCTCATGAGGAGCAGTTCCAGATTGATATTTAACAAAGACTGCATTTATGGTTTTCGTAGGCTTAGTTGGACACTTCTCGACTCACGCGACCCCTTAAACTCGAAAATCGACGTGATAAGAAATTTTGGGTTTTCCGTAGGCTGCGTCAGAGCGGGAACGTGTCGATCGATGTTACTATTTTCTTTTGTATTATTTAATGTATTTTTCACTGTGTTCTTAATAAAACAATGAAAATAAGTAGATACGTTTTATTTAATCTCGATGATTCTGCGAATAGCTGATCAAGGTTGATAAGCAAACAAAGATATTTTTCAATAAACTCGTGTTCAAGTGAAAATCGAAAACAAGCAAGGAAGTTGTAAGTGTGTTGATTTACAAGATAATTGTTGTTGATTTATGAGATGGGTGACGTTGTATTGTTTAATTGAATTGCACGTTTTTTCCAGTGGTGTGACAAAAAACGAATAAAAACTTATAAATTCCGTCATTATGATTCATGTTATTCAATATGGTCCATAAAAACGTATCTTGAATGGCCATACCTGTAAACAGTTTAGTTTATTTGGTTAATTAAAATTACATCACGCCATAAAACCGATTTTTTTCAAAGTACTTCATAAATTATGCCTTAAATTAGCCACACTGTTTACTACGCGGTTTTTTAGTTCCTTTTCGTTTTCTCTCTCTCTCTCTCTCTCTCGTTCAGACAAAAACTGGAATTAATTTTATTAACCCATTAGAGTAGTAGTGTGCCTGTAGAATAAATGCGATCGAAAATGAAACGAATTACAGTTAGCTGTGAAATCAGTTGGTACTACTGCACACATCATTCTGTGAACTCATAAATCTGTCACTTGTCAGTGTCAAAAATTAAATACACCCAGCAAAAATGCCGCGCCTTTTTTAGTTGCCACCTAGTCGAAAAGAGAAAATAGAATTAGTGTCGACCATGAAAACAATTCTTAAACAAATGAAAATGACATTTGTCTCGATATTTTATCATGATTCATCTAATGAGGTCAGGTTACTCTGTAATGTCATTAGTGAGTGAGTGATACCAGTCTAAGGATTGTTTTCAGAATTTGCTCCAATTTGCTTTATTTATTTTATTATGAAATTATCATACTTACTTTTAATACTTCTGTTTCACTAATTAACTCATGTTGTTTTGTGCCAGATAGTGCAATAAATATCCTGTCTAATGACATTTTAATTACTAGTTATTTATACAAACTTATCACTTGTCAAAATCACAAAATACTTACTGTGTTCTATAGTCGTCATGAGTAAAGTCACGTAACAAAAAAAAATAAGGGGATTTTGACATTTTACTGACATCAGTATAAATGAACACAAGATGACGTAGCAATGACGTAGGCAACATTTTATGTGTGAAAAATTCAACGCGAAAAATTTAGACCGATGGCTGGAAGGCCAAAATTTGACTTCATTTAAAAGTATACAAAATTTGGATTCGGGCAGCGGTGCTCTGGTACCTCGGCTACTGGTGTCTCTGGAAAATTCCCGAGTCCAGATGGTAGTAATACCTTTTGTTTTTGAAGTAACTGAAAGAAGCTCGGGGACCCCTTTTGTTGTGTTTTTGAAGTAGCTTGAAAGAATCTCGGAGACCCATTGCGCCTGGTGTTTGAAGTAGCTTACAAGAATATCAGGGACACCTTTTGTTTTGTTTTTTAAATAAATTGAAAGGATTTCGGGGACACTTTGTGTTGGTTTTTGAAGTAGATTTGAAAGAATCGTGGGGACTCTTTTTGTCTTGTTTTTGAAGTATTTTGAAAGAATCTCGGGGATTCTTTGTGCCTGATTATGAAGTAGGTTGAAAGAGTGTCGGGGGCCTCTTTCGTTTTGTTTTTGAAGTAGTTTGAAAGAATCTAGGGGACCCCTTGTGCATGGTTTTTGAAGTACATAGTTTGAAAGAATCTCGTGGATCCCTTGTGTTTGATTTCTTAAGTAGGTTGAAAGAGCCTCCGGGATACCTTGTGCCTGATTTTTGCAGTAGGTTGAAAGAGTCTCGGGGACCACTTTCGTTTTATTTTTGAATTAGTTTGAAAGAATCTAGGGGGTACCTTTTGTGGATGTTTTTTTAAGTCATTTAAAAGAATGTTTTTAAAGCAGTTTGAAAGAATCTCGGAGACCCATTGCGCCTAGTTTTGAACTACTTTAAAAGAATTCCGGGAGACCTTTTGTTGTGTTTTTGAAGTAAATTGAAAGAATTTCGGGGACCCTTTGGGTTGGTTTTTGAAGTAGGTTTGAAAGAATCTCGGGGACTCTGTGTCTGATCTTTGAAGTCGTTTGCAAGAATCTTGGGGATCCCTTGTGCCTGATTTTTTAAGTAGGTTGAATGAGTCTGCTGAATTCCTTGTGCCTGATTTTTGAAGTAGGTTGAAAGAGTCTCGGGGATTCCTTGAGTCTGATTTTTGAAATAGGTTGAAAGAGTCTCGGGAACCTCTTTCGTTTTGTTTTTAAAGTAGTTTGAAAGAATCTAGGGGGTACCCTTTGTGGATGTTTTTTTAAGTCATTTAAAAGAATGTCGGGGATTCCTTCTGTTTTGTTACTGAAGCAGTTTGAAAGAACCTCGGAGACCATTTTTGTTGGTTTTGAAGTAAACTGAAAGAATCTCGAGGACCCCTTTAGTTTTGTTTTTGAAGTAAATTGAAGAATTTTGGGGACTCTTTGTGTTAATTTTTGAAGTAGGTCTGAAAGTCTCGCGGTTCCCTTTTGTTTTGAAGTAGTTTGAAAAATCTCGGGGACCCTTTTGTTTTGTTTTTGAACTAACTTACAAGAATCTCGGGAACAACTTTTGTTGGTTTTGAAGTAAACTGAAAGAATCTCGAGGACCCCTTTAGTTTTGTTTTTGAAGTAGTTTGAAACGCTCTCGGGGACACCTTGCGCCTGGTTTTGAAGTATAGTTTAAAAGAATATCAGGGACACCTTTTGTTTTATTTTTGAAGTAAATTGAGGAATATCGGGGACTGTTTGTGTTGGTTTTGAAGTAGATTCGAAAGAATTTCGGGGGTTCAGTGTCTGGTCTTTGAAGTGCGGTTTAAATGAATCTCGGCGGCCCCTTTTGTTTTGTTTTTGAAAGAATCTCGGGGATTCCTTGTACCTGATTTTGAAGTAGGTTGAAAGAGTCTCGGGGACCTCTTTCGTTTTGTTTTTGAAGTAGTTTGAAAGAATCTCGAAGCGGACCCTTTGCGCCCGGTTTTGAAGTAGTTTAAAAGAATCTCAGGGACACCGTTTGATTTGTTTTTGAAGTAAATTGAAAGAATCTCAAGGACTCCTTGTGCATGATTGTTGAAGTAGTTTGAAAGAATCTCGGACACCCCTTTTGATTTGTTTTTGAAGTAAATTCAAGAATATCGGGGACTCTTAGTGTTGGTTTTTGAAGTAGGGTGAAAGAATGTCGAGGATCCCTTGTGTCTGATTTTTGATGTAGGTTGAAAGTCTCCAGGATTCCTTGTGCCTGATTTTTCTCGTTTTTTTTAACTAGTTTGAAAGAATCTCGGGGATTGCTTTTGTTTTGAAGTAGTTTGAAAAATCTCGGGGACCCCTTTTCTTTGGTTTTTGAAACAGTTTGAAAGAATCTCGGAAACCCCTTTTGTTGTTTTTGAAGTAAATTGAAAGGATCTTGGGGACCCTTTAGTTGTTTTTGAAGTAGTCTGAAAGAATCTCGGCGACCCCTTGCGCCTTAGTAGTTTAAAAGAATCTTAGGGACACCTTTTGTTTTGTTTTTGAAGTAAATTGAAGAATCTCGGGGACCCTTTGTGTTGGTTTTTGAAGTAGGTTTGAAAGAATCTCGGGGACTTTGTGTCTGGTCTTTGAAGTAGTATGAAAGAATCTCGGCGACCACTTTTTCTTTTGTTTTTACAGTAGTTTGAAAGAATCTCGGGGATCCGTTGTGCCTGATTTTTGATGTAGGTTGTAAAACTCTCGGGGACCTCTTTCGTTTCTGAAGTACTTCAAAAGACTCTAGGGGACCCTTTGTGCATGGTTTTTAAAGTAATTTAAAAGAATGTCGGGAACCCTTCTTGTTTTGTTTTTGAAGCAGTTTGAAAGAATCTCGGACACCCCTTTTTTTGTTTTTGAAGTGAATTGAAAGAATCTCGGGGACCCCTTGCGCCTGGTTGTGAAGTAGTTTAATAGAATCTCAAGGACACCTTATGTTTCGTTTTTGAAGTAAATTGAAGAATCTCGGGAATTCTTTAGTTTTGTTTTTGAAGCAGTTTGAAAGAATCTCGGGAACCCCTTGGGCCTGGTTGTGAAGTAGTTTAATAGAATCTCAGGGACACCTTTTGTTTTGTTATTGAAGTAGTTTGAAAGAATTTCAAGGAACCCTTGTGCCTGGTTTTGGAAGTAGGTTGAAAGAATCTCGAGGACCAGTTTCGTTTTGTTTTTGAAGTAAATTCAAGAATATCAGGGATTCTTAGTATTGTAAGTCTTTAGGATTCCTTGTGCCCGATTTTTGAAGTAATTTAAAAGAATGTCGGGGACCACTTGTTTTTTTTTTAAATAGTTTGAAAGACTCTCGGGGATTGCTTTTCTTTTGAAGTAGTTTGAAAAATCTCAGGGACCCCTTGTCTTTGGTTCTTTAAACAGTTTGATAAAATCTCAGAGACCCCTTTTATTGTTTTTGAAGTAAATTGAAAGGATCTCGGGGATCCTTTAGTTGTTTTTGAAGTAGTCTGAAAGAATCTTGGGGACCCCTTGCGCCTTAGTAGTTTCAAAAAATCTCAGAGACACCTTTCGTTTTGTTTTTGAAGTAAATTGAAGAATCTCGGGGACCCTTTGTGTTGGTTTTTGAAGTAGGTTTGAAAGAATCTCGGGGACTCTGTGTATGGTCTTTGAAGGAGTTTGAAAGAATCTCGGCAACCACTTGTGCTTGGTTTTGTAGCAGTTTGAAAGAATCTCGGAAATCCGTTTTTTTTTGTTTTTGAAGTAATTTGAAAGAATCTCGGGGATCCCTTGTGCCTGATTTTTGAAGTAAGTTGAAAGAGCCTCGGGGACCAGTTTCGTTTTGTTTTTGAAGTAGTTTGAAAGAATGTAGGGGACTCCTCCTTTTGCATGGTTTTTGAAGTAAATTGAAGAATCTCGGGGATCCCTTTGGTTTGAAGTACTTTGAAAAATCTCTGGGACTTCTTTTATTTTGTTTTTGAAGTAGCTTACAAGAATCTCGGGGACTCCTTTAGTTTTGTTTTTGAAGTAATTTGAAGAAATCTCGGGGACCCCTTGCCCTGGTTTTGAAGTAGTTTAAAAGAATCTCGGGAATCCCTTTTGCCTGATTTTTGAAGTAATTTGAAAGAATCTCGGACACCCCTTTTGTTTAGTTTTGAAATAAATTGAAGAATTTTGGGGACTCTTTGTGTTAAGTTTTTGAAATAGGTTTGAAAGAATCTTGGGGTTCCCTTTTGTTTTGAAGTAGTTTGAAAAATCTCGGGGACCCCTTTTGTTTTGTTTTTGAAGTAGCTTACAAGAATCTCGGGAACAACTTTTGTTGTTTTTGAAGTAAGTTGAAAGAATTTCGGGGACCCCTTGCGCCTGGTTTTGAAGTAGTTTAAAAGAATCTCGGGAACTGTTTTGTTTTGTTTTTGAGGTAGTTTGAAAGAATCTCAGGGACAACTTTTGCTTTGTTTTTGAAGCAGTTTGAAAAAATTTCGGGGACCTCTGGCGCCTGGTTGTGAAGTAGTTTAACAGAATCTCAGGGACACCTTTTGTTTTGTTTTTGAAGTAAATTGAAGAATCTCGGGGACTCTTTGTGGTGGTTTTTGAAGTAGGTTTGAAAGAATCTCGGAGACTCTGTCTAGTCTTTGAAGTGGTTTGAAAGAATCTCGGCTACCACTTGTGCTTGGTTTTGTGGCAGTTTGAAAGAATCTCGAGGATCCCTTGTGCCTAATTTTTGAAGAAGGTTAAAAGAGTCTCGGGGACCACTTTCGTTTTGTTTCTGAAGTAGTTTGAAAGAAGGACATCCCTTTTGTTTTGTTTTTGAAATAAACTGAAATAATCTCAGGGGCAACTTGTGTTTTGTTTTTGAAGTAGTTTGAAAGAATATGCTATTTCCATCCCCCACTAAGTGTAACTTACTTTCTGTTGTCAAAAATGACATAGCTGACAATGACATTTCACTTAAAATCAAAATTGTTTTTTTTTTATAATCAATAACAACAACGACTTCTTTTTGTTCAATATAACCATCCTATTTTAGGTTGTAAAGCTTTAATGAATGAATGAATGAATGAATGAATGAATTTATTAGCATACAAAATACAATTTGTTTAGCCTCGTCCAGTAACAAAATGTACACACTTACATAACATATACTTACACACTAGACTAAAATATATACATTGTATAAACAAGTACAATCAAGTACCTACATAACAGTACTTCTAAAACAATCAATAAAATTAAAAAACGAAGGAAGTATTAACAATTTTTACGTTTTACGAATGCCAATTTTTTGTCGAAGTTTTTGTTGCAGTTGATATAACGTGTGATCAAAAAGTTTTCAGATTCGAGTTGGCCAAGGAAATATTTGTCATGCCTTTGATTACAATGCAAATGTCAAAAATCCAAATTATTGAAATACCAATGAGGTTATGCCAGACATTTACAGTTTAATCAAAGACATGACAAATATTTCCATGGCCAATTCTAATCTGAAAACTTTTTGATTTATTTTCTTTATTTATTTTATTTAAATATTCTGGAATCCAGCTTGCGAAATGTGTTTTGGATTTCGTTCAAAGCTTGTCTAGTTCGTATTATTTTAAATAAGATTAATGAAATCTTTTGCAATCCTTTTGTAATTTTGGTGTCAACTTTGAGCTATTTGTGTTCGGATTAGTGAATTATTGGTAAATCTTGTGAAACTTTACCTCGTTTTTGTGTCAGCTTTAACCTATTTTCGTTCGACAGAACGTATTTTGTCAAAATCTTGGTTGTTACAAATAAACCGTATATTAAATATTAATAAATACCACACAATTTTGTAAAAAAAAGTCGTAAATGGAGACATACTTTAAACAAAAGCGTTTTACTTTAGGAAGAAATGAAATTATCGCTGTGTGTAAAAACTTAACAATACGAACTTTCCCATGGCACTAAATGACTAAACCATACACATAGTGTGATAAAAGAATGTACATAATGGGTAATAAAACCTTTATGTGCAAATTCAACGACAACTGTAAATATAAAAAATACATACTTCGTTTGCAGTTAATCATTTTGTTAATAACCGCCATAGTTCAACATTTATAGTAGAAATATATTTATTTTTATCAGTCTTATCTTGACCGTCAAAATTACTCACCTTCATTGCTTTTGGTTGAGGCGTGTTCCATTTTAACAAACTTTGTTCTTGCTGTGACTTCTTCAGAATAGGCATGAACTTAGCAATACAAAACTTTGTTATATAATAAAAAAAATAAAACGAATATAAGGATGTACATGTTTTATTTTCATGCGAAGACGGGGTAGAGCGTAGAATATGCGGCAGATTTTTATTTTGTCCAACATACCTGTATGGGTGTAGCGAAATATATGAAAAATAGACCAATCTAGTTAGTGTTTTCCGTTTACACGATAGTCTTAAATACACCCGAAATTTCAGAGTAGTCGGTTCGAGAGTTGAGGCCATCGTTCAGAAGAAAAACAATATATCGCAACACCACCGCAGGTATCTACTAAGGACTTCATTCTTTATTTTGATATTATTTTACAATTTTGAATTTAGTTTGTTTAGCAAGATTCCCTCGACGCCATATATTTACACAGATCCACAACTCGACAAGCATAACCCCACTCGTTATCATACCATGCAATCAACTTGATAAAATTCCTGGTTAGCGCCAGTCCAGCTGTCGCGTCAAAAATGCAGGACCGGGAATCCCCAATAATATCTGAAGAAACAATGGGATCGTCCGTGTACGCCAGAATCCCATGCATCGGCCCATCAGCCGCTTCTTTAATCTTGCATTTGATCACGTCGTATTCCGCAGGCGTATCAATGCTACCCAATTTTATTTAATCACAAATAAGAAATATTGTAATTGTATCTAATAAAGTTTTATAAATCATCTAGAATCCCCGAAAGCGTGTGATCAACGAACCTAACGTTTCTCTGGTTAGAAAACACGTCTCTTAAAGCTGCGACTTCTCCATGTTATAAAATTTTATTAGATGTATTAGCAGCGTTCATATTAGTAACTACTTACATCATCGTTAAATCTACCATAGACGCATCCGGAACCGGAACTCTGGCCGCGATTCCAGTTATCTTACCCTCGAGGTCGGGTATAACTTTAGCGATAGCTTTGGCGGCGCCGGTGCTCGTAGGAATGATGTTCTGGAGAGCTCCTCTGCCTATTCTGTAGTTCTTTTTCGCCGGGCCGTCGAGGGTGTTCTGGGACGGAGTAACTGCATGTATTGTGGTCATTAAACCGCACGCGATTTTGAAGTGATCGTTGACCACTTTGGTTAGTGGTGCTAAGCAGTTGGTGGTGCACGAAGCGTTAGACACTATTTTAATGTCGGGGTTGTAATCGTCATGGTTTACACCCATTACAAACATGGGGATATCTTTTTTGGAAGGGTAAGTGAGGATGACTCGCTCGACGGTTTCGTGAAGAAGGGCCTAAAATTTGGGCGTGTAGTCGAACATCTTGAAAAATTAAGGAAAAGTTGTGTTTGTTTGCCGTGGTTTAGGTTAGTTTCGCAACGAGTGGATGTTAAGAATCTAGTTTTCAAATCCAACCGCTGGTGATGGTTAATGGGGGAAAAAAGGTTAGGGATATTGGGGTGAAGGGGAGATTCGAGAAGGGGAAGCAGGTAACTATTTCTGATTAACCATATCAATTAAAACTGTAAAAATGGGTACTATTACTGAGAAGTGGCCAACATTTTTAAATCTCACAGGTCATTAGATATAAAACATACTTATGAAAACTCTGTAGTAGTCATTTGCTAAAATCAGTCTTATCTTAGCAGGTACTAGCCCCGCCCACCCACCCTCTCTGTTCTTAGAGGGTATTTCATTTGTCAAAATCAGTCTTACCTTCGCACGAATTTTGAACATCTTCTCTATGTTTAGTTGGTTATGCTTTAATAGGTTTTTCTTTTGTTGGTTTTGTTTTTGTTTATAATTTACAAATGTCTTATTAAATGTTTTTTTTATTTACATATTAATGAAAAATAGCAACTTCTTTTATTATATAGCAATGCACAAGGATTAAGGACTACTGGTTGTTATGGTTATTGTCTTAATGTTTTTATTGTTTTTTGGGACTCCCGAAACCCTCGTACATAACGTACCGAAAAGTTAATCCGTCATTTTCCAGACACCCGGTATAATAAAAATCCGGAAACGGCAGACCGACAGACAAACAAACAGACGGACAGACAGACAGACGGAAACGTAACAGTTGGTCGACGGACTCGATTACAATACTTCCTTCGTTTATGCTCCGGAAGTAATAAGAAGGTTTTTAACTGTTGCTGTCAAAGTTGTGACCCCATTAACGTTTTTTTTTAATGACAGCTTTATCTTTATCGATATACGTCGAAAGAATGCAAATAATTCATTATCACCGTGGCATTTATGCGCCGTCTAAAATGTGTGTTTTTACCTGTTAAAAACAGTTATTATTATGTCATAAATTGTCATGAGTCATTTTTTGACATTGTGGTGATACCAACTTTAGGAATTTTAACTTAGAATGCGATATCCATATTACAATAACAACGTATGATTGTTTACTTTCCGATTGCAATGGGTTTTATGGTGTCTTGAATTTGAAATTTTGATTTCGTGCTCAGAAAAAAAATAGGAAAATTATTTTAAAAATTTCATGTTTTAGACCATGTATTAGTGAATCTTGGTAGTGGTTAGGGGTTGGTAACGCAGGCACTTGTGTTTGCAATTTTATAAATGGGCAATTGTTTAAATAAAAACGACTCGCATTCGACGCCACGGTCTTCCTCCAGCGAGTGTAATTAGGGTAATATCAGGTTATTAAGGATTTTCTAATATGGGATATATAAAACTTTTGATTACTCGATAAGCACGCTTGTCTTAATGTTTGTAAATTCACAGTTCATGTTAAGATTTTCAACTGTTCCTGGTTCTAAAACAATATAACAATCGTGAAACTGATCATATAAACCACGTGTTAGGAAATTCACTTATTCAGACTTCACTCTTTTGTTGATCAAGTTATAACTAAAGTTTCTGGATGTTTTTACTTGATAACACACTTCTTAACTTCTCACTTCATTTATGGCATTTCAACTGATCTGAACGTTGGTCATTTTAGGAGAAAGGACCTTGAAAAGTTGCGGTCAAAGTCATACCTTCGTGGACTCGAAAAATTAAACAGCTTGAATATTTTCTTACAGGTTTAACAATATTGAACACCATGCAACTTTTTTCCATTAAAAATCAACAACAAAAGGAATGAGATGAAGTATTCTCTTTTTCTTGTTTTTTTTTTTTTAATTTGATTTTGAAGGTAAGACAGATTTTTGTTGTAGCTGAGAACCAAGGGACGTAAAAAACAACGTAAATTTCCACTTTTGTTGACGACGATCGCAGTTCAAGGCCAAATTTTGAATTTTTCGCAGGTTTTAGAATTTTGTTCACATTTCAAATTTTCGCGGGATGTTTGGGTTTTGGTATTGGCCATCTGTTATATCTTGGCGCTTGCGTAAAATTCTGTTTAGACTTAACAGATGAGTTACCAACCACTAGATGCATAGGGGAAATTTTATGTTACCAACACAAAGCAACAAGTGGATGATAACAAAAAATACTTTAGTGAATATAGTCAGAGACTTTAAATATGTATAGACCGGCTATGTGGCCTAAAACTTGAAGCCGGCAGTCGCCATATTGCTTAGTCCCAAAATCGCGCCGAATTTAAAATGTCAACAATTTCAAAGTTATTAAAACACGATCTTAACAAGTTTATTTGGAATAGTAAGGTGTTGCCGATGAAATAAAATACCTTTTTGACCACTACTTTTTTGTTTCGAATTACGATACCACCGTACACCGCAGCTTACTGGCATTTCCGTTCAAAGTTCACTTAATTTATTAAATACTATCGTAACAAACGCGACACCATTGACCAGGAGCTAGGTCCAATAAACAAAAAAAAAACAACAAATAACAGCCACACTCAGCACCCAACAAACAGACTTTCCTACTTCTATTAACGAAAACTCGAAAACTGAGAACGATAGTTCCGTTTAAAGGTTAAGTTGGGTCAGGATTGACAGAAAGGGACCAGCAATGGCGGCGATTTCTGTTGACAGAACTGCTTCACGAAATACAATAGAATTTAGGGTGACAGCCAGTCTATATATATTTGAAGTCTTTGAATATAGTATTTAATTTTTAAATTTAAAATAGTCTATAAAAATTCTAATAAAAAAGTTGTAAAACACGTTTATGTAGTTAATTTCAAGACAACTGTTTTTCATTTGCTAGTGAAACGCTTCATTGCAAATGTATGTATTTATTCACAAATTCAGTATAATGTAACCACGCAAAAAAACATCATTTGGAAATATTTTTCTTCTGATGTTGGGTACTTAACATAAATGATTAATCGCAAAACACTGAAAACTGTTTTTCTGTTAAAAATATTCCTTTGTTTTTTATAAATTATTATAGCATACGAGTCAATCTAAGAAATTGTATTTACATACTACATATATAAGCAGTGTGTTACTCACTACTGTGGTATTCGAAACAATCAGTGTATACTCAGACCATTAAAACTTTATGATGTGATTATGAGGAGTTGGACAATAGCACGGTTAGCGACGATTGTAAAAATTATAACATTATTAATACACAATAATACACATATTGTGGTGACCGAGTTTGAATCAAATTTTCGCGCCGAAATTAATTAACAGCAAAAAAAAAATCGTTAAACGTAGGCAACAAGTGCACGTTGGCGCTTTTGAAGTGTGTAGTCTGCTTGAGATTTTAGTTAGAGCGGTGTTTATCAGAGGGCGCTTTTAGTAGACAAGATGGCGGCATGGTGAAAGCTTGTTGAAAGCGTCATTCTTATTTTGGTTTCTTGTGTGGGAGCATGGTGAAAAAGACGCTGTAAGTTAGCACAGTTTTCCCCAATACGCGCAGCTGATTCTTGCGGTTTTTTAAACGGAAACATGTGAATTTTTGAACGACGCCAACTCGTGTAAATTTAATCCATTGTTTGTAAATACACAGTTCATGTTAGGATTTTAATCGTTAACTGGTTCTAACACAATGTAACAGACATTTGCTAGGAGTTTTCATGAAATTCAAGTTTCTGGATGTTAACACGTAAGTGTTACATTATAATACTTCTAGATTTCTCACACAAGATCGCTAATAGTTCATTTACGGCAGTTAAATTAACAAAATCATCATAACATCACCGAGAAGCAATTTCCTCGCAACGATGACTGGATATTTTTGTGTTTATTTATCATGTGTTTTGTTTGGGGTAAGCAGTTCACGATATTATAAACTCTCGAAGCTAATTGTTTTAAAGCAACCAATCACTTGGATCAAGACATAATTTAACATAACGTAAACTTTTTAACACTTGTTCAGTTGTTGTTAATATCAGAGTTACAAGAAATTAAACATTTAAAATGGAATTGAGGTAAATAACATAGAAAGCGTGATAGAAGCGGAGTGCGCGGTTCCTGGTCGAGCTGGCGGAATTTATGGCGACACCTGGACAAAATATGCAGGTAAGAATAGAATTCAGGGGGGGGTCGAGATAACCTAACGTTGTCGGTTTCTACCCCATAGCCGGGACCCAACTGCGAGTTTGTGACCGGAACGGCCTGCACATACGGCTTGTCCGTAATAGAGAATTGCTTTGCGGCAGGCTTGCGATAGATAGAATCCCCGTCGCGAGGGAGAACAGCCACGACCGGTAGCCCCAAACTCCGCTTGTGCTAATACCCCTATGGGCATTTTTGTTGTGCTTTTGTTGACTGCCATAATTTTAAATTTGACGTCACACGCCCGTAATAACTTGTGTATTTGCAACCAGTTACTTTAATTCAGATTTTGATTTGTTTTATCAGATTTGTGATATTCAAATATTTGCATTGATTCAGAACGTTTAATTTGATTTCATTTAAATTTCATCGAAAGATCGCAGCTTTTTTTTGTCAGTGGAGGAATAAATAATTTTGTGTCCTCCCTAAATTTTGTGTTTTATTTAGCGATACTTTTCCAACCTTGAAGTCCACCATTTGCATCTGAACGCATCCCGGCATTTTTCAAAAACACACAGCCAACGCCAAATTTTGCAATTTTGAATTTTTCGCGGGCTTTCAACTTTTTTTCACATGTCAATTTAAGGCGGGATGTTTAGGTTATCACAATATATACCAAGTGTCCTTTCTTACAAATACTTTTTATAGCGAAATAAGAATTTTGAATGTTTGGAGGTACACCGAAATTTTAAAGGTACCTTCCTGGCACGGGATTTTACCTGCTACTGGTCCAGTGCCATTTCAGATGTGTTTATACTCTTGTCTGTTTCATTTGTAGCTCACAATTTGTTAACTGTCATTCAGTTTCTAAACGTTAAATGCTTTTTGTTAAGAAATGGACTCCACAAGAGAGAATGATTTAAAATAACCACATGTGAACAACTATCTCCACGTTTGATTGATGCATTAAAATACGGGGTTATTAATAACTGAAGCAAATTTTTGTGTTGGCAATTCTAAATTATAGGCACCAATAGCAGTACGTCAGGTAGCAGTAGTAACAGTTGTCAATTTGACAGCCATAAAATTTTAAATATTACCTTATCTTATTTCAGGAATCATTAGGTAACTTCTTCAAAAAAAAGTCAAAGTTTAGTGAATTCTGCCGCTTTCATCTCACTAAAATTTACCTACCAATTTACAATTGAAATAGGGCGGGTGGGCGGGCTTACATTTTGCCTTTTTGTTTTAAAATGGAACATTTGTATAAGGAAATATCGACGTTGCAAAATGCTCCATAATTGCAAAATCCATATTTCCTTGCAAAAACGTATTATTTTAACCAAGTTTCTTGTTGTGAAAAGATGGCTATGTATATTAAGAAAACACAAGGCAAAGTATAAGCCCCGCCGACCTACCCTATCTCAATCGTGATGAATTTTTCATTCGTTGTCAAACAAAGGGGCGGAGCGTAATTGCAAAATCGATATTTCTCAACACAAATTTACCATTTTAAATGTGTGTTGAGTTTCTAAGAATAAAAAATATAATCACAATTGAGATGGGGTGGGTGGGCGGGGTTTATATTTTGCCTTTTTTTTCTTAATATTTTCTTTGAACAACACGATACCTGTTTTCAATTTCTCGTAAAGAAATAAGTATTTTGCAGTTAAATGCTTTTTGTTAAGAATTGGCTAACGGCGAATAAAAAAAAATATCACAATTGAGACAGGGTGGGTGGGTGTTCTTACATTTTACCTTTTTGTTTTAGTATGTGCAGATTTTTTTCACAATATAAAATCTGCTCAAGATGATTCACATTTTACCTAAACTTATTTTAAAGTTTAGGTATAATGTGAATCATTTAATCATCACAATTAATTTTTTTCTTATAATGTTTATAATTTTACAACCGATATCTTTTAGAGAAAAGTACCTAAACATAACGTGATTTCTTAAACTAAAACATTGCGTCTGAGTAAGCTTCAAAAACGAAAATCATAAGCAAATGAATAAATAAATAAAACTGTGTGTAATACAAACAAAGAGAAATTAAATTAGAAGAAAAAGTATTGAGTAATCAATATTTTTTAACATACCAAGTCGAAGTAATAAAAGTGTTAAACAACTAATCATTACTGCAAATGATTTTGACCTTCCACTGATGAAACCTTAAGCAAAATGATACGACTGTAAATAAAACGGCAATTAAAGTCTTCATATCAGTAGACATACGTATGAAAGTATAAATATAGTTGTCAAAGCAATCAACAGATAAAAATACATACATGTAAATAGACCTGTGGGTGTAGTAATTAGTTTTTACAAACAAGGATGGTCACTGTTTACGCAACTCGGTTTCAAAGTACCTGTTAAGATAATTATTAAATGTACTTTAAGACGCAATAATGAAAATTTGCGTTAGACCTGCTGTTCGATAATCCCCGTGCGAAAAATGTACCAGTTCATAACACCCACTTACCACTGAAGATTCACATTAACATGAAACCAACCTCAGCGAAACACACTAAAACCGCAAAAACATTACCGAAGCTTTGTCCTGAGTCTTGTACAAGCCTGTAGCATCAACTAGATACTGCGGAGAACTTTTACTCCACTGAACTTTGTCTGGAGCTTTCTCATTATGAATGTCAACCAGTTGACCTAAAATTGCGATTCTCGCACTTGTCAACAACTCTGTGGACTTACCGTCGATCTTCAGGCAACTGCCAACTACCTGTATTTCACCCTGATAGATACCGTGGGTTGAATCATATTTGAAAAGATTTGCCATATGGTCTGCTGAAAGGTACGGGTCGTTGATGGCTACCACCGTTGGCCATTCTCCACACGACGTACCCTTGTGCTGTTCAGTTGGGCTAGTACAAGGAGTGGTTACGATTTGGTTCTACTTACTTCCTTTAGTTTTTGTAAACAGCGCCGTACAACCAGGCGTCCAATTCTGCCGAAACCGTTTATTGCAATTTTGACCATGACAGCAGAGTGAAAATCACGAATTGAAATAGGGGGACTTGTTTATGAGAACGTAATTACTTTAGGGTGCTTAGTAACGGATTTAGTTTCGTGGGCGGTCATTCTGTTATTAGTCGTGAGAGTAGTCGTAATTTTTTCGTTTAGTGATACAAGGCGATTCCACTTTTTCAGTCGTAAAGAGCAAGGCAACTGATTCAATTTATTGCAATATGAACGATCATTAAAATCGTGATGTGGTAATTAGTATGTCTGCATGAGGTCCTCTCTCCACGTGTTTCACGGTTTAGTCCACAATGAAATAATCGAACGTGTACTCGAGTTAAAACTACTTGTTTTCAATGGTTTAATACTTTAATCTTTATTCTATTATAAAATGTGTTTACATAAAGTTTCAAATAACAATAAAGATATAATTTTTACAGGTTCGAAAACATACTAAAACGGTCTGGAAAATATCAGTTGCTTAAAAATTCATGCGGCATTAAAACAAAGTTACTACACAACCAACATCACAAGTTATGTTTAAAAAATAACCACCTTCCGCATCATTATTTTCATAAGTTAATATCAAATAATGGAAATTCTCATGATAAAGCAACAACCACACTGAGTCCCGCGTAGCGGAAACTCAGCGTGCCCGTGATTATAGGAAAAATTATTCTACCACTGTTAATACAAGAAATCAAGTACGTGTCCATTGTAAACTCGAAATTAATTATAAATTAAAAAAGAAACAACTAGCAAACAGCTTTAGCGCGAATATATTCTAAATAGACAGACATGAACAAATATATATTTTATATACAAAATGGTGTCACACAGCAGAAGACTTGTGCTCACACGAAGCACCAAATGACAAAGCAGCCGCACCTTACATTTATCGATTCCACTATTGATAGGGAATTTCATGATCATTAACTGGCAATACTGCAGAGCCGAAAAGTGCAAGGTTGTGAAATAAGCTTCCTCAGTCTCTCAATTGTAAATTTTGATGGCTTTCTCTAAATAATTAAAACGGGATTTTTTCGGGGCTTTGTTCACATGATCCAAACCTAACCAGGGTTTTGGACTTCCAGCTGAAACACAAAGGTCACCACCGCTCTACAACCCACCTCTCACTCACCTTGATTAGGAAGTGGTCTAAAATCTGCTAAATTGACTACATACTCGTCATCTTGTAGGACTTGTTGTCTGCCCATCGCGACGATCGAAAACTTGTACTTTTCAAATTCTTTGTCAGGAACACCTAACCTCTTCTGGATACGTTCTAAAACAAACACAAGAAAACAGATAGTTCAGTCCGGGCGACCGCGGCGTCACCCACATACCTTTGACTTTCGTAAACGGTTCCCCTTGCTTAATTTTGAGCAAGAACGGTAAACCGAAGGTGGAGAAAACCTCCTTTTGGAAATGCGCACAAGAAATAAGCATTTCGTCTTCAGCTATATGCAGTTCATCTCTTGGCACTTCTTCGATCCTATAAATTTTAGCTGCGTTGATTACCAGGTGATCTAGGGGCGTATCTTCTTTAGGACCCAACGCCACTTTATTACAACTAACTTCCGTAAACCTGGAACAACCCCTTAGATTTTTTCTAAATTTTCTAGTGATCTCCTAACCTCAATTTTCCGGTGCTCCCTTCACCAAACTCGATTTGTTTTTTCGCCTCTTCCAACAAATCGGCCACCGTCCCCCTTTTATTCGGGTACAAAATAATTTCTTTCTCTTCTAAAACATTGGGACCGACATAAATACATTTAAACTGTTTCTTATTTTCTAATTCATTAACACGGATGCTGAGCTGTTGGTAAAATATTTTTTTAGGCGCCTTAGGTTTTGAAAATACTAAGAGATCTTTCAAGGTGCCCTCAAAGGTGCACCTTAAAGGATGTCCTGGGCTGTCTTTGTAACTGGAAGATACGGAACTTTAATTAATTCGATTAGCTTGTATAATGTGCTTGCGATAGACGTACTTTTGACATTTGAAAAACTGTAATAGGTATGGATCGGTGCCGACCCTTTGGGCTACAGCTCTCGCCAGCTGGTCGTACGTCATTCGCTGTGAGAGCTCCATTGTGAAACCGGGATCGTTGGGTGTGCATTTATCGACGAAGGTTACTTCTACTCGGTAGTATAAATCTTTGAAGTAGTCGATGCATGTTGGTAAGTCGGAGAATTCTTCTCGTTCTTCTTTCTCGAAGAGGATTATGTCACCGTCCATCAGTTCGTCCAAGACCTTGTACACAAAGGTGCTTATAAAATCACGTGAATTTTAATTACGATTTTTTTTAATGATTTTTATGAACAACACACTTAACTTAAGTCGTAAAGGCCCCCTTAGAGGCACTACCTGATTTGATTTCACTATACCGGTGTCCCCGTTTACTAGTTCCGGTTAGTTATTTAAAATCACAAAAACTATACTACTACTATACTGTCTTTGTTTTTTCGGAAATGACTTCAATTTTTTTTTCAAAACCATTTTTAAGTGCGTTAATTAATAGTGCGGTCGTTTCGAATATTATATGTGTAATAAAAATTGACAGACGGCAGATAGACAGACAGGCTTGGTGTTAATTAAGCGTTCTAAATTTCATTTCAGAGTTCTACCTTTCCAAATAAATCAATTAAGTTTCTGCAGTTACAAGATTTTCTTTTTATTGGTAGCTAAGCAGTAAACTTCGTGTTACTATTACTAAAATTTAAATACAGAATAGTCATATTTGAAAACTGAAACTTGTACTCATAACCGGCGAAACTGAAAGTAAATTCTACCATTCATTTTTTTCGGTTCACTTTTGTAGCGCTGTCTATTCTCTAGTTTATCCCCGATGAATGTAGTTTTTGAAATAATAGGGTTAATCGGTTGCTACGTATGCAACCAACAATTTTTGTAGATGGTTTTTGTATTGTCTTTATAAAACTACTACATAGTCACAGTAATTTGATTTTTTTATGCACAAGAAAAAATATTGAACTACTCAATGAGATTGTAATGGCGTCAAAAAAATTATTTCACTGTAATAACACATTTTCTTTTTATACAAGGTGTTTACAAGACATGCGGCCAAAAATGCAGATAGTTATTTCTTGGATCATTTTACAATTTTTGTGTTTTAATGCTTTATTCTTGGTCTATAATGATGTGGATTTGAGGTACGTTATTGACCAAATAATACCCTATGGCATTGCGAATAGTTGCCATAGCAACGTTAACAGAAAACGTAACCAATCCAAAAATCTAGTGAAATAAAATCCAAACAAATAAAAAAAAAAAAAAACAAAGAACTAAAAAATCTAAACATGAAGAACTCCAAAAAACCCAAGAAATAAAATAGTTTAAAAATTCAAAGAATTTAAAATATCAAAAAAAATAATTAAAAAAATCCAAGAAATCCAATAATTCCAAAAATCCAAAAAAGAATCCAAAAAAAAGAAAATTGAATAAATTACAAAAAACTAACAAGGAAAACGTAAAAAATTCAAAACATAAAAGCAAAGAATCTAAAAAACCAAAAAATTCCAAAAAATCCAAGAAACCCAAACATCCAAAAAATCTAAAAAATTCAAGAGAAAAAAAAAGCGAAAAATTTTAATAAATCCCAACAAATCAAAACAAACATCTAAAAAATCCAAAAACCCAAGAAACTCATGTAATATTAGTCCATGAATAAAAAAAAATCTAAAATATCTAAATAATTGAAAAAATCTCTAAATTCAAAGAAACCCAAACAACCTGAGCAAATTCAATAATTTCAAAAATCCAAAAAAATTTTCAAAGATCAAAAAAAAATTGAAAGAATCTAAAAAGCAAAAAATTCCAAAAAAATCCAAGAAATCCGATTTTCCAAAAAATTAAAAATATTAAAAAAATCAAAACATGAAATCCAATACATCCAAAAATACAAAAAAAAAGAGAATTCAAAAAAATCAAAGAATTTAAAAAATCCAGGAAACTCAAACAAGCTCAAGAAATCCAATAATTTAAGGAACACAAAAAACCAAAAAAGAATCCCCAAAAAAAAATTCTAAAAAATTGAATAGATCTCAAAAAAGTAACAACGAAAAACCAAACATAAAAAAAAAAAATCCAAAATATAAAAAAAAAATCAAAAACCAAAAAATTCCAAAAAACCAAGAAAACCGATTATCCAAAAAATTGAAAATATCTAGAAAAACAGAAAAAAAAATGTAAAAAATTAATAAACCCCAACAAATGAAAAAAAAAAATCCAAAAAATTCAAACTTAAGAAGTCCAATGGTTCTAAAAAACGAAAATATCCAAATAATTAAAAAAAAATCCGGAACACTAGAAGAAAATCCAAAAAATCTAAAAAATCAAAGAAACCCAAACAAGCTGAAGAAATTCACTAATTTAAAAAATCCAAAAATCGAAGATATTCCAAAATCTGTAAAAAAGCAAAACATCCAAAAAATTTCAAAAGTTCAAAAAAAACCGAAAGAATCTACAAAGCAAAAATTCCAAAAAAAAAAATCCAAAACGACCAGAACAAAAAACACAAAAAATATAAAATTATCGAAAAAATTTAATAAATCCTAAATAATAATAATAAAAAAAAAAACAGTAATCCAAAAAATCGAAAATATGCAAAAAACTACACAATTTAAAAATATAAGAATCCCAGGAAACTCGAAAGAACTCCCAAGAAATCCGAAAATTCAAAAAATCTGAAAATAAAAAACAAAACAAAAATTATGGAAAACGTTGATTAAATCCAAACAAATAAAAAAAATCTAAGAAACTCAAGAAAACCAATAGTTCCAAAAATCAAAAAAAAAAAATTGAAAATTCAAAAAATCAAAGATTTTAAAAAATCCAAGAAACACAAACAAGCTCAGGAAATCGAATACTTAATTTCAAAAATCTAAAAGAATTTAAAAAACCAAAAAAATCCAGGAAACCCGGTAATTCAAAAAATCAGAAAAAAAAATCGAAAAAATTAACAAACCTCATAACATCTAAAAAATCCAACAAAAAAAAAAAATAAGAAAATCAAGAAAGCAAAATCGAAAATATCCAAATAATTAAAAAAAATCCGAAAAATTAAAAAAAAAAAAAAAATAACTCCAAAAATGGAAAACATTTCATAACTCCAAAAAATCGGAACATTTAAAAAACAAAACAAGAGATTAACAAGGAAAATGTACAAAATCCAAACATTAAAAAAAATCCTAAAGATAAAAACAAAGAAACTAAAAATTCCAAAAGAAAGAAAAAATGCAAGAAACCCGATAATCCAAAAGATCGGAAATATATAAAAAAAAATTAGAAAAATCCCAAGAAAAATTTCAAAACAATTTAATAAATCCGAACAAATAAAATAAAGTCTAAAAAAAATCCAAAAACCCAATAGTTTCATAAATCCAAAAAAATCGAAAATATTAAAAAAGTCAAACATGAAGAAATCCAAGAAACTCATGAAATCCAATATTTCAAAAATTCAAAAAATCAAAGAATTTAAAAAATTCAAGAAACCCAAACAAGCTCAAGAAATCCAATAGTTTCAAAAATTAAAACTATTCCAAAATTCTGAAAAAAGGAACACAAAATCCAAAATAAATAAATTCAAAAAAACCGATTATCCGAAAAAATAAAAATATCCAAAAAAAAATTAGAAAAAAAATCTAAAAAATTTAACAAATCCCACCAATAAAAAGAATTTGAAAAATCCAAAAAACTCAAGAAACTTAAGAAATCTAATAATTCCAAAATTACAAAAAATCAAAAATATCCAATTAATTAAAAAAAAGCGGGACAAATAAAAAAAAATGTAAAAAAAAATCAAAGAAACCCAAACACGCTGAAGAAATCTAATACATAATTTAAAAAATCGAAAATATTCCAAAATCTACAAAAAAAGTTAAAAAATCCAAACATCCGAAAAAAGAATAAAAAATATAAAATTATCGAAAAAATTTAATAATTCCAAATTAAAAAACCTAATAATCCAAAGAATCAAAACAATTTAAAAAGTACAAGAAACCCAAGAAACTTAAAAACCCCCAAGAAATCCAAAAATTCCAAAAAACCAGAAAGTAAAAAAACAAAACAACCAAAAAATCTAAAAAATCGAAGAAATCCAAAAAACCCAAGAAACTCAAGAAATCCAATATGTAGTTTCAATAATCAAAAAAAAAAAAAAAAAAAAATAATAGAAAATTTAAAAAATCAGAGAATTTAAAAAATCCAAAAAAAAGGAAAAAAAAAACAAAACAGAATCTAAAAAATTCAAACATCAAAACAAATCGAAAACAAAAAAGAATTTAAAAAAAACCAAAAAATTCAATAAATCTCATCCAAAAAAAAAAAAAAAACCTAAAAAAAATCCAAAAAACCCAAGAAAGTCCAGACAGCCAATAATTCTAAAAATCCAAAAAATCGAAAATATCCAAATAATTAAAAAAATCGGAACAAGAAAAAATGCAAAAATCGAAAAAAATTGAATAAAACAAAAAAAAATACAAAAACTCCAAACATTAAAAAAATCCAAAAGACCAAAAAACCGGAAGAATCTAAAAAACAAAAACACCAAGAAATCCAAAGTTCCAAACTATCGAACAAATGAAATTAAAAAAATCAGACAATGCAAAAAAAAGTATACCTGAATTTTATACCCCTGGACATAAACTACTCCATAATACCCTTAACTAATTTGTCCTTGGACGATTTGCGGAAGGCCGATTTATTTCGAAGATACAGGGCGCTCCAAAAGCTGTTGAAAATGACGACCACCAGTTGTTCCCAGTGATTTTTTGCCGCATGTTTAGTAAACAGTCTGTATATAGTTTATTAATCCAAGTTTGAAAAGCTATTTAAAAAACTACGTCAATCCTATTGTGGAAGTAACGAACATATTTTTTTCCTAATCTGGAGTTTAGAACCATTCACATAACCAAATGAAATTTAAGTTATATTATAACAAAACATAAATATTTTATTTTTTTGAAAAATTGTTCCTTGAAGTATTGGACTCGTTTAAATACAACCAGTTCGACAATTTCAGGACGAATATCATAGTAAATAATAATGGTCATAATTTTTCTAAGAAAAATCGTTGCTGCTGTGTTTATTACTTTCCTCTGCACACAAACACACAAAACATTTTTTAAATCATATTGTTATTATGAAGTAGATACATTTAATCTTCCGAACCAGACACCGTTATGGTCGAATTTTTTCTCTTTTTGTGAGGGGCTGAAAATCTTGGTGCTTGCGCTTATGGGTGGAAATATGAATCTACATTTTTTTCAAAGATATAAGGGAGAAATCCACTTAATTTCGGGAAAATCGTTATTTTTGTTGGGGTATAATATTATGGAGATTCTGATCCTTTTTATGTTGCAAAAAAGGGGACAAACTTAATAGCCTATCTCTAGAACCTGTAGTTACACGAAATTTTAGCAGTTTCTTCTTATTCAATAAGTCAAAAATGTTACTTTTACTCGTAATTTATGAATCAACGTCACATCTAAGGTTTTGTCACTGCGCTTACGGCGTTATATTCAATTATTCAGTTATGCTTTTGAAATTCGCGGTACATTTACGATTCGGCGACACCATCACTCATAAACTGTACAAAAACATCGACACATAAAACATGCCGACTTACCTTTTCCAGCGGCTCATTGAAATTCGTAATCTTCTCTATCATATTAGGCCTAATCTCTTCATACAACACCAGCTCCGTATCCGGCGGAAAGCCGGCCCTCTCGTTCAACAGCGGAACCAACTCGCTCAACTTACTAGTAACCGGTAAGTAACTATGTCCACAATAATGTATCTTTTTCTGCTTAGGGTCGTACATTTTGAAGAACAACAAAACATCGGTCTCCTTATCGAAATTCGGTAACATCGTAAGGCCCGAATCGGGCGGTAACAACTCCAAGAATATCGTCCACGGATTCTGATTTTCGGCGGTGTCGATGACGGCCTTGTGCGAGTCCGCCTCCAAATCCAGCATGCTAGGCCTCATCGTCTGATTCGACCTCTGACTGAACGGCCATGGCCTTATCTGTTCGGTAGGATACTTGAAAGCGTCGGCGAACATGTCCATCATTTCGCTGACTAACGCCATCTTTTTTATTTTGAAGACGCGGAACAACGGCCTGTCGGGATCGTAAAGATCGTTGCCTTGATGGCCGTCGAAACTGTCTTCTAGTAAGACGTTGATGGTCATGTAGAGGTGGGCTTCGTTGCGCTCTTTTCGCCTGACCTGTTCCATTCGTTTTTCTTCGGCTAGTCGGTCGGCTAATTCGCTTGGTATATCGGCGTCGGTGACCTGGACGACGACGAAATACATACAAATTTTTTTCTACGTGTCTCTGTACCTACCTCTTGTAATACGTTGTGTAGTTCTGAATCCCTAATATAAACCAACATGTACGCGTTGGTACAATGTTTGACTGTCATGTTCATGTCTTCGTCGTGACCGCCATAATTATGTTCGATGGCTTCCTGTTTCGTACACCTAGATACAACATCATCATCGAACTTACACCACTTGCCATCTCCCCTAGGGTTAATAAAAACTACGTAATGGCCGCCATGATTGTCACCAGAATGTACCAGAACAGCGTGTAACGTATAATTGGCCGGATTACTCGGATCCGGTTCTTGTAAATACGAATCTAAAGATATCTTTTCATAAAACTCAAACCTATCGTTGAATTTAACCGAACAATCCGTGATCGGATCGTACTGGAACCTCATTAAATGTAAATGTAACACAGGCGGAAAAGCCGAGAAAATAACTCCTTTCTCGGCATCTTGCAACCCGTGCTCGCCTGCATCGTACTTATTGTCGCCGTCTAACGTTTCTTTGGCGATGTAATCCTTGAACGACTCATCAACTACAAAAAAAAAAACACGTTAGAAACCAAACAGCTCGTAGTTCTCGACGGAGTTAAAACTCATCCGAAACCCATTCAAAACTCACTGTTTTTCTTTCCTTTGATGTTCAGCTGAATGTCGTAGAACGTCTCTGACCGTGTGCTCGAGTAGTCGACGTTTTTACATCTGATGTACGAAATCATCTTGCCTTCGAAAAGTTTCGGGACCGTTCCCTCGACGCAGGTGCCTTTCATTTTGCTTTCCAACTTATCTAAAAGTACCTGAATTTCCATTCGTTTTAGTAGTATCGGTCGAGTTTTGAAAGTTGCGTGTAATTACCCTGAGAAATTCTTGCACATCGTGTTGCATAAACGAATCCAAAGTCTCCCAACCGAAACTTTTCGTCAACTTTTTTGTACCGACGGGTTTATCGCAGAACTGTAATTCGTGGAATACCCTCTGAAGAGCGAGCGCCACCGATTTCGTCGAGTCGTCGGACTCTGTTGGCATTTTGTAGACGGCACGTCTCAGCTGGTTCGTGAAATATAGAGTCTGGAGAAGGGAATTCATGTAGCACGTTGCTCCCTGGTTTTTCAGACCGACGTAACCTGCGAGAGAAAAATGGTTAGTTGAAAATTGTTAGTCGGTACGTCACTTAAATGTAAAAACAGTTTACTTAAGTTATCTACTTAAATTTCTGTATACTGAGAACGCTATTTTTGAATTCTTATTTTATTTTTTACAGTTAACATCGCCTACTAATATAAAATATACAACAAAAAATCTACGATCGACATAATGATTCACACATTATGCATATGGGTTGGTTGTTTTCTTTGTTTAACAGATCTTAATCTTGATTTTTTTTTTTAATTTATAAGCTTATTGTGCAACTTTTTCACCTCTTTAAATATTTTGTAGATCACATTAGACTAAATACAGGATGTTTCATCGTAACTGCAATGGAATTGGTTCAAAACTGCTAATGTACCGGAAATAGATTAGGTACAGAATTCATAAAACATGTCACAATATGGCAATCGCAGCACTCGCTTTCGCCGGAAATGAACTCAACTGTTCTAATGTAGTGGTTCTCTTCGGTTAAAAAATGAGTAAAAAAAGGACAACTAATTGTTTTCATGTTTGGTAAAACCTTAAACTCACTATCAACTTTTTGGTGTTTTTAAATAAATACTATTTTGTAAATTTTGTCTTAAAAGCGATCTTTGAATCAGTGCTCTTTATGGATTTATTTACAGTAGACGCCGCTTAATATGATCACGGTTAATGTTATCAACCGCTTAGTGTGATCAAAATGGCTTGGAACGGTCCCATGCAATACCAATGCATTACAGTTTTTCCGTTTATTGTGATCAATATTTCGCTTATTGTGATCAATCTCGCAATTTTTATACAAGCGGGAATTGCTTTTTTGGAAAAGCGAGACGACCGAAACTAGTATTGTGTTTTAATGAACATTCATTGCTCGCAAAAGCTGCATTCGCTTATACTACTCACTTTATACAACCACAATCAGTGACAGACTTTAGTAATCAGTGCGTTTTCGTCTTTTGAATGAACGAATTTTTGCTGTTTTAAATTTGAGTAGTACTTAAGTAAAAATGATCACGTCGAAACGACGAGATTTCAGCTTATCAGAGAAAAAAAAAATCTCAGCCCTTTCTTAACAAACTTCTAAAGCAACCAAAGGAAATCGGGGGTTCCTTTCTCAGAATGATAACCAAAGTTTAAAATAAATTCTAATGTTTATGTACCTTCATCTACCAGCATAATAAACACTGTCTTATTCATGATTTTGCTTTGTTTCAAGTTTTACTGTCTTTGATGGTGGTTTTCGCTTATTATTATCAGTCGGTTAGTGTGATCAATTTGTCTGAGTCCCGAAGTGATCACATTAAGCGGCGTCCACTGTATTTACTATTAAAGCCACTTATAGATTTTACAAGATAATTAATATTTTTATTATAAAACATATTTTTGTTAATATTCATAAAACATGACACAATATGACAATCGCAGCACTCTCGGTTTCGCCGGAAATGAACTCAACTGTTTTAATTGAACCGTTCGCTTGGATTAATTTTTAAAAGTAGTAAAAAAACGACCAGTTTTTATATTTGGTGAAATCTTAAACTCAAGATCAACTTTTTCCTATTTTTAAATAAATGTTATTTTGTAAATTTTGGCTCAAAAGCGATCTTTGGATCAATGCTTTTTATGGTTTTATTAAATTACTATAAAAACCACTTATAGATCTTACAAGATAATTAATATTTTTTTTGTTATCTGAAAACAAAAGTACCTCCATAAGTGATAGCATAAATCCTTCATCTGCGCTATTTTAAGGATGGAAAAAACCTTCAAATTTCATAAAATAATCTGAACAGTAAGTTGCGACTGTAAAAAATATTAAACCAAAATCTCCATTTCTTAGTAGTATTACAAACACTATATTGAGTGTCCTAGTTTAGCTGTTCCACTGTAATATGTCAGTTATTAAATAATAATGATAGAAGATTTAAATAGTTAGTACTTGCCACGGATAAGACTGTTTTTGGCAGAGACTAAGAAAATAGAGGGTGGGTGGGTGGGGCTAGTATTTGCTAGGATAACACTAATTTTGATAAATGACAAGCCTCCAAGGAAATAGAGGGCGGGCGGGCGGGCCTAATATTTGCTAAGATAAGACTGATTTTGGTGAACGAGATAGCCTGTAAAAAATAGAGGGCGGGTGGGTGGGACAAGTACTTATAAGACTGATTTTGGGAAATGACGTGTCCCCTAAGAAAATAGAGGGAGCGTTGGTGGAGTTAGTACTTGCTAAGATAAGACTCATTTTGACAAATGACGTATCCTCTAAGAAGATAGAGGGTGGGCGGGCGGGGTCAATATTTGCTAAATAGTTAATTAAGACACAGTCTGGAACATGGCGGGATTAACTCTCCCCTACGCTCTTAACAATCAACTGGTGAGTCTGGGAGAAATATTAAAAAAAAATCCTTGTCACATTTTGGTGGAGTTATACTGATTTTAATGTTTAATTACCATTTCAGTTAGAATGTACAAAAGTTGTGTTATTTTTGTAATAATTTGATCAAATACCATTTGACAACAATGTTTACCTGATATAAAGCGACGGTACAAATCAACAAAAATCGAATGGGCAGTTAAAAATGTTTGACGGATTAAAAAAAGTTTTCAAAACCCTACGTTAAAACTAATCGCAGTTAATTTTAGGTTCCCTGGTGTTTTATGTTAGAATAAATTTAAAGGAATTTGATGTTTTGTTGCTGGATGAACTTGAAAAAATATTTTGAGTTTTCAGTGTTTTTTTTTTTTTAATGAATTTGAACGTCTTGATTGCCGCAGTACTTTTTTTTTAATTCGGGTGCCCATGGTGTATATTACTCTGGGTCCCACGGAAATTTTTTTTGAAAATTATTTTGGAGGACTTTGGTGTTGTTTTTTGAAAATTCTGACCTGACCTGTTTTTGAGGGAATTTTGAGACCCCGTTTTTTCTTTTTTTGAAAAATTTGAAACAATCTTGGGGTTATAGGTATTCCTGTTTGGAAAGAATTTGAATGTGGTTTGGAGCCTCCAGTGTCTTTTCTTATAATGATTTAATTAAATTTCTTAGAGGATACGTCATTTGCACACATTGGTCTTATTTTAGCAGGTAATAGCCCCGCCCACCCACCCTCTCTTTTCTTATTGGGAATGTCATTTGCCAAAATCAGTTTTATCTTACCAAGTACTAGTACCGCCCACCCGCCCTTTCTTTTGTTCGAGCGTCTCATCTGCCAAAAAGCAAAGAATTTTAAAAATCCAAGAAACACAAATAAGCTCAAGAAATCCAGTAAGTTCAAAATTCTAAAAAGGAATACAAAAAAGCCAAAAGATAAAAAAAAAAAAAGAATTTAAAATGCCAAAAAATTCAAAGAAACTCGATAATCCAAAAAATTGGAAACATAAAAAAAAATCTAAAAATCCAAAAAACCCAAGAAAGTCAAGAAAGCCAAAAAATCGAAAATACATATCCAAATAATTCAAAAAAATCCGGAAAACTACGAAAAACTCAATAAATCTAAAAAATCAATGAAACTCAAATAACCTGAAGAAATCCAATAATTTCAAAAATCCAAACACCAAAAAAAAATTTCGAAAGATCAAAAAAAATTCGAAAAAATCTAAAAAGCAAAACATTCCAAAAAAATCCAAGAAACCCCATAATCCAAAAAAATGAAAATATAAAAAAAAATCAAACATGAACAAATCCAATAGTTCCAAAAAATAAAAAATTCAAAAAATCGGAGAAACCCAAACAAGCTCAAGAAATCCAATAATTTCAAAAAACGAAAATATTCCAAAATTCTAAAAAAAGGAACACAAAAAAAAACAAAAAAGAATCCAAAAAAATCGAAAAATTGAATAATTCTCAAAACATCAACAACGAAAATCCAAACATTAAAAAAAATCCAAAATATAAAATAGGAAATTCACAAAACCAAGGAATTCCAAAAAATCCAAGAAATTCGATTATCTAAAAAACTGAAAATATAGAGAAAGATAAAAAAATAAACAAAAACTAAAAAATTCAAGAAACACAAACAAGCCTAAGAAATCCAGTAATTCCAAAATTCTAAAAAGGAATACAAAAAAAAGAATTAAAAAAAAATCGAAAAATTGAATAAATCTCAAAAAACCAACAACGAAAATGTAAAAAATCCAAACATAAAAAAAAACCCAAAAGATAAAAAAAGAAGAATTTAAAAAGCCAAAAATTCAAAGAAATTCGATAATCCAAGAAACCCGATAATCCAAAAAATTGGAAACAAAAAAAAATCTAAAAATCCAAAAAACCCAAGAAAGTCAAGAAAGCCAAAAAATCGAAAATACATATCCAAATAATTAAAAAAAATCCGGAAAACTAAAAAAAATTCAAAAAATCTAAAATCAATGAAAATATAAAAAAATCAAACATGAAGAAATCCAATAGTTCCAAAAAATAGAAATTTCAAAAAATCATAGAATTTAAAAAATCCAAGAAACCCAAACAAGCTCAAGAAATCCAATAATTTCAAAAAACGAAAATATTCCAAAATTATAAAAAAAAAGGAACAAAAAAACTAAAAAGAATAAAAAAAAAATCGAAATATTGATTAGGTCTCAAAACATCCACAAAGAAAATCCAAAGATTAAAAAAGATCCAAAATATAAAAATGTAAATTCACAAAACCAAGGAATTTCAAAAAAAATCCTAGAAATCCGATTATCTAAAAAATTTAATAAATCCCAACAAATAAAAAAATCTAAAAAATCCATAAAACTTAAGAAATCCAACAGTTCCAAAAATCCAAAAAATCAAAAATATCCAAATAAATGTTTGACGTATCAAAAATTGTCAGTTTTCAAAAGCCTACGTTTAAAATAATCACAGTTAATTTTAGGTCTTCTGGTGTTTTATTTTCGGATAAATTTAAAGAAATCTGATGTTTTGTTGCTGGATGGACTTGAAAAAATATTTTGAGCTTTTAGTGTTTTTTTTTTAATTCGAGAGACTCATGGTGTATTATTTTGGAGCCCACGGAATTTTTTTTGTAAATTATTACCAACAATTTTGGAGAACTTTGGTGTTGTTTTTTGAAAATTCTGACCAGACCTGTTTTTGAGATAATTTTGAGACCCTGTTTTTTCTTTTTTTGAAAAATTTAAAACAATCTCGAGGTTATAGGTATTCATGTTTGGAAAGAATTTGAAATGTGCTTTGGAGCCCCCAGTGTCTTTTCTTATAATATATACTTTATTTATTAATGAAAAATAACAACTCGTTATTGTTATTATCCTAAAAAAAAAATAAAAAGTGGATTTCAGTCACCATTGTTACTAAGAAATCAGACAGTAAGCCGGAGGTATTCACGCATTAGGTGCGTACAGTGTTGCCAATTTTACTTTTGTAAAATTACATTTTTTTTCGTAATCTACTTCATGAAGAATTTTTTAATTATTTTTTTGGGACTCTCGAAACCCCGTACATAACGTTCTGAAAGTTAATTCGCCATTCTCCAGACACGCCGTAAAAATCAATATACTATTAGCACCTTTTGTTTTGAAGGAAATGACATCAACTTTTTCTTTTTCTTTAGCAAAGACACGTACAACAATAGCCACCGCAACAATTCAACAATAAATATTTATAAACAACTTTAACTAGAGCTTTACTGGACGACTACGTCAACATGGAATCGTTATTTTGGGCTAACAAGGTTAATTCAGAGCAAGATACATAATTGAATTGTACATCGACCTATGTTTTCATAGGAAAAGTGTCAAGTTCAAGGCTCAGGTGGCGACACAGTAGCGAAGGACACAAATGTTACGACACAAAATTATGAAAGAAAAATTTGCGACGATTTCTTGCGTTACAGGAAAATAATTTGACGTTAACTAACGAATGATGCATTCGTGTCTCACACTTTTTTACTTCCACTCTTGTACGCACGTAAACTCTTAAATGGGAAGCTTCCATTTTTGAAAAAATATCTTTACGTTTGTCGATACTTTGACAGTGTTTGAATATAGGTGGCGCCACATACACCGAACTGTTGCTGGAGTACAGGTGAGTATACGACGTCTAATTTTAGTTTTTTAGAGATTTTTATGCTGTGAAGTTTTGTTAATTAATATCTACTTAATAATCTCTAAGGATGTAGCTGTAATTTAATGTATGTGCTTATAAATGTAATTAGCAGTAACACAAGGGATTAGGTGGTTTACGAGGACATAAAATAATACATTTTTCGCCGGAGTCCATGCAATTTTTATAAAAGGTTCTGAGTTAATCATGGTATGCTATGTATATTATCATGTTCATATTTTCTACTACAGTATATTTAAAATTGTGGACAAATTTCAGTATGTAATATTTAATAACAAATTTCAAATTTGAAGTTTTTTGTCTGTACCAATTTTATTTGGTACCACCTTCAATCTGTAAAATTTTTAGCGACTATGACGAGAGTCGGTAAATACAATTTCTTGTTATAATTGCATCGATTACGAAGAGATGTCGCGACTTGATCGTCGACAAATAGCACACTTTGACCTAAGAAATTTTCTTTTGATTGGTCAGTCTTATTAAAATTGCGCTAAATTTAAAAATTCTTAAATTAACTAGTAGAATAATCCAGCCTGAACAAGAGATTTTGGTTAAATAAATACTTCAGTCTACTTTACAAGCAAAGTAATTACATATTTTAATTGACAGATGTTTCTCTCCTTCAACGAAAAATTTACAAAACCGTAGAGCTACACCATATTTTTTAAACAATTACCCACAATACACGGAAACCAGTAATTAATTAAAAACAATGCTAACGAGGTAATAACGTAACATGAAAAAAATTCAAAACCTCATAACTTCTACAGTAGCAACACAAAAACCAAAATTCACAGTATCCATTGTTTCGTTTAATTTTACAATGACAGCGAAACAGGTTCATTAAGAACACGAAATTAACTTCTCCCTCAGAACACCGTTGCTACTTTCTAATTTCCTCCGTACATCCATTCCAAATACGAATTACAAAAGTCCGTACTTTTTAAACACGACATTTTTACTATATCGACCTTGGCAAATTTCTATTTATATGTACAAGCACATACAAATTGAAAACCATTAAACTCACTTGCGAAACGAAGTATAAATGTTTTACAACAATCACTCGACGATTACTCTTTTAATTACTTGTTATTTCACCGGAATTTCGCTACCTACCCGTTTTTCGCATTTCTAACTCACTAGAAATATCACTCGAGTGCGGATTTCGACAAGTAAAATAAACACGAGTTTTTATTTTAGATCATACCTGTATGCTTTTTGCTGTCCCAAGAAACGCCATGCGGGGCATCAGCGACGACGTGTACTTCCAGAGTAATCGCATCATCTTTAATGTAACCTTTTTCTGGGTCGAGAATATCATTCCAGGCCATGAAGTGTGAAAAGCCCCAATCATTTTCCTAAACATGGTCGTTGTCATAACTGGAGATGGAAGTCTACGAGCGACCTTCCTTACCTTGGAATAGAACAAGTGTTGTATCTTTCTTGAGAAGGGTTCCACATCAGGACGAACCGACAGCAGGCGTAGCTCGGCTACGGCGTAGCAGGACCACGAAGAAGATTCGCTTTCACCGTTACATTGAAGGAAAAAGCCGAGAGAGCGTTGTGCGGTCCTGTCCTGACCGTGGCTGTTTCGGGGCATCACCATGATTTTCCATGGTAGGTTTCTGACGTAGCAAGCAGGGGACAAGGCGGAATCCTGGTGGAAACATCACGATGATTATAAAATATAAAATACACAAAGAGTGCTATGACGTCATCAATTTATTTTCAATCGGTACAAGTTTTTTAAAAAATCCAGAAATGATTTATTTCTTCAATGATAAATTGTCGCGAATGCAAAATACAAATAAAACGAAACCTAAGTATGTTTCAATAGACGCTTTCTATTGATTTGTTTAGCGTTTTAATCTGAAATTTGTTCCGTTTTTGTTTGTTTTAAAGGTGCTCTCGACCCGATCTGGAGTGGATCTACCATGATTGAATAGTTAAATGGAAAGCTGCTAATAACGGCTCGTCATGTAACCGGAAGTGGGTGTACCAAACAGACCTTTTCAGGTTTCTACCTAAACTATTTAATTATTTTTCGTTGTCAAGCTGTGCATTATTCAAAAAGTAAATATTTTCGGAATCGTCACCGTATCGGGGAATAAGATCAATAATGACAATATTGTGACACAATTATTGCAGTTATTTATAAACGGGAACTTAAAAATTTGTCAATCAGATTTGGGGTTATTTCATGGAAAGAAAATTAGAAATAAATAACTTTATTAAATATTTACGCCTCATTAAGGTTTAATCTTGAATATTACTATGCATTGTTGAATTAATCACATGAACAATTGGTAGCAGGATTAAGGTAACAACGCTTTTAGAAACCGAGCATGAATGACTTGATATAATTTCACCGAAAAAATATGGTTCCTATGATTTGTAGTATTTATCGGTTCAATGCGCGCAATTTTAATCGAGTTTCAAATATGGTAAGAACTAAGTTGGTTGATTTTTGTAACGTAATCGAGTCCACCGGCAGACTCCATGCTTTTATGTTTTCTCGACGTGTCATGACCCCTAGAGGACGAAGAAATAGGTCTCCGGTCTGTCTGCCGTCTGTCCGTTTTTTTAAATTATTTCACACAACAATAATATTCGTCTCTTTAAAATGGTTCACAATGTGCCTTTTTTCTTAACATACGTAGTCGTCTTTTCTGAAGAAGAAACTTGAAACATGTCTAAAATGGTAAATTCTTGTAGACAAATATGGATTTTGCTAAGCCCCGCCCCTCGATCTGACAACGAATGAAAAATTCGTCACAATTGAGAATTGAGATCAGGGCGGGTATGGGTGGGGCCTAACCTTTGGCTTTATTTTTTCTTAATATACATAGTATTCTTTGAACAACATGATACTCAAAAACAAGAACTTTTCAGTTAAGCTCCGCCCTCTTGGCTGAAGACGAATAAAGAAAATCATCACAATTGAGATAGAGCGGGCGGGCGGGGTTACATTTTGCCTTATTTTTTTAATATCTGTAGACTTATTTCGACGAAATGTTGTGAAAGTCCCAAATATTCTAACCAAAAACTCTAAGGTCTACAAGGATTTCAGGAATTTAAAAAAATTAAGAAAAGGTAGAGAAGCCGGCAATTTAAGAATCCTAAAGGGATTTCAGGGATTTCAAAAATTTCGAAGATTTCACAGATAGTAAATATTTAAAAATTCGGAAGATGATAAAAGTTCTAGAGATACGGAAGTACCTAAAAATATAGAAAATCTGAAAGGTCTAAAGATTATAGAAATTCTAGTGATTCTAGAGTTCTAAAGATTCCAAAGTTTCCGGTGGTTTGAAAGATTCAAAAAGTCAAAAGCTTTCACGGATTATGTACACTAGAAAATTGCGAATTGTAAAGACACTTTAGATTCTAAATAAACGAAAGTTCTAATGTTCTAAATATAAAAAAGATCCAATAGAATCTTAAAAAAAAATTTAAAGAACCTAGGGAACGAATGATCCTAAAAATTACAGAAATTTTAGGCTGTATAAAACTCCTAGTATTTCCCAAAGTGTTCAAAATTTCCATAGATTGGAAAGGGTCTAAAGACTGTCAGGACTCTAAGGGGTCAAACGGTAAAATCCTGTTTTGAATACTTGAACGATTCTAAAGGTTCTAGAGAAATTCCAAAAAGCCAAAGATTCTAAATTTCGTAAAAATCGCGTAAACTCTTAAAATGCCAAAGATTTTAAAAATCCCAAAGACTTTAAAGAAAACAAAAATCTTAAAAACCTAAAAATCCTGAAGATCGGAAAAATGTTTTCTTTAATTTTTATAAATTAGTAGGGATGTACCGACTAGTGGCCGACCGGTCGGATAAGCCGACTATTCGGCCGTTTTTCATCGTCGGCTGCAGTCGGCGACTGGTCGGCTAACCAGCCGATCGGTCGGCTTTTTTTTATTAAAATTAAAATAATATATAAAGCAATTAAACCCGGTTCACAGAACCTCAATTAAATATTTAATTGCGATTTAATTTTTAACCCCGCGTTAAAGTACCATGTGACCGACTCTACGCCAATCAGACGTCGCTAATGGCCTTGTTAAATGCGCGATCAACTTAATCGCAGTTAAAATATTGTATAAACTGGCCCTAAATTGTGTTATTCTTTATTTTTGTACTGAGTTATTAAAAAAAATTAAATGTTAAAATTATCCAAGCAAATTTAACACATTTTTTGGAAAACAAAGGAACTTTAGTTATTCCTTTTATTAAAATAAAACAAATTTTTAAGGTAGTCAGAGAAATAGAAAAAAAAACACACTGTCTGTCGCATTTATAAACCCGTTTTAGCAAAGCCGAACAGTCGGCCGACTAGTCGGTTTTTACTGGCCGAACCATCGGCTAGTCGGTTAGTCGGCCAGACCAACAGTCGGTACATCTCTATAAATTAGAGATTCCAAAAATTCCAAATATTTAGACTCTTGAAATCTAGATATAAATTTTAGAAAACCTGAAAAAAATTAGAAATTTTGAAAAATGTGCAAATTACAAAAAATCCCAAAAATTAAAAAAATATTAAATCTCAAAATTTCAAAAGGTTACACAATCTTAAGATTGTAGATATTCTAAAAATCCCAAAGTTTCTAAATCTTTGAAATATTTAAAAGCTTTAAAAAATTTTAAAGACTCGATACATTCTAAAAATTTTAAAGTAGAACTAGAACCTAGTAAACTAGAATCTGCGAATTGTAAAAACCCCAAAAATGCTAAATAAACTAAAGTTTTAGGTTCTAAATAGAAGAAATGTCCATCAAAATCTTCAAAATTGGAAAGATCTTGGAAGAATTATACCTAGAAATTATAAAATTTCTAGTAATTCTGAAGTATCCAAAATTTACAAAATTTTTAAGACTCTTAAGGACTCAAACGTTAAAAAGGTTTTTAAAATTCTGTTCCAAATATTTAAAAAAATTGTAAAAACCCATGATTCCAAAGACTCTAAACCAAACAAAAATCCTAAAAATTGTAAAAATCTGAAGAATCCAGTAATTTTTATAAATCCTACAAGTATCAGGGGTCTTGAACGCCCTAATTATTTTCTTACACATCTTAGAGATTCTAAAGATTCCAGAGATTCCAAAAATTTCAAAGACTTAAAAACTCTTGGGGTCTATTAATTTTAGAAAATCTGGAAAGTGTGAAAAATCTGGAAAACGTAGAACCTAGAAATGTTGAAAACTGAGGAAAGTGATGAAGCCTGGTTTCATCTAACAAGATAATATCCGATATTGCCAAATAATATACCCTCTAAGAAAACAAAGGGTGGGCGGGTGGGGCTAATACTTATCAAAATAAGATTGATTTTGGCAAATGACCTACTCTTTAAAAAAATAAAGGGCGGATGGGCAGGGCTAGTACTTGTTAAAAATATAAAACTGATTTTGTCAAGTGGCATACCCTTGAAGAAAATAAAGGGTGGGTGGGCGGGGCCAATACTTGCCAAAAAAAGACTGATTTTGCAAAGTGATTTACCCTCTACCCTTTATTTTCTTAGAGGATATGTCATTTGGCAAAATCAGTCTTATTTTAGCAAGTACTATCCAGGGCCACCCATCCTTAATTTTCTTAGATAGTATGTCGTTTTTCCAAAATCAGTCTTAAGGTCAGTTTACATTATAGGATTTTTCTTAGGATTTCCTTAAGAGGGTTTGGTGAGTCGAAAAAAAACGTGTTGTTAGAGGCGGGGTTAACGGCCACCCCACTACTGAATTACCGTCTGTGAAAAAGTTCTTACCAGAATATATATACATATTATATTTATAATAAACTCGCAAAACTTGAGGATGTGGAGTGCAGAAAATCCTCAATATTTTGAAGAAACGCCATTATACATATCTACAAAAAAAATTGGTCGAAAGTTATTTCGACAGAACTTGCCTCGCTTCTGGTTCCACTTTCTTTAATAAATTGACTGATTCATTAATTTTTTTTTGGTCACCTGTATAAGCAAATCTAAAAAATATTAATGCAATGATAAGTTACAAGTACAGTCTGATCATATTTTGCACATTTTCGAAAGAATTTATTCGGCAAAAATGATAAACCCACACATTTTGATTAAAAACTTAACATGCTTACAATAACTTCACAACAAGATTTCAAAGTACATATGCAGTTTTGCAATCCTTGATTTAATCAATAAAATAAATTCACTCAGTCATTATTTTTTTTCAGACACCTCGTATAAGCAAATCTAAAAAATATTAATGCAGTGTTACTAGATCACAAGTATACACTCATCAAACTTTGTACATTTAGAATAGAATTTTTTCAGCAAAATTTTGGGGTGGCGTCATCAAATTTTCAGGGGGGATGAGGAAATACATTTTGATCAAAAATTTACCATGCCTATAATAACTTTAAAACATCTCCAAGATTTTAAAGCACTCGGTTTTGCAGATTCAAAATTAAATTGCAAAATGTTTCATAATGTTGATTTTTTTTTTCCAAAAATCTGGACGGTTCGGGTAAAAACTCAATTCGGAGTCATAAACTACATGTGTAGGACTATGTTATTTTATACAATTTAAAACCCATTTATTATGTACAATTTTGAAGTGACGTCATCGCATTATTGGTGTGGATGATTAGACAATTTTTGGTTACCATTTTGACATGATATTCCTACTACAAATACA